TATATATATATATATATATATATATATATATATATATATAATGTGTCTTTGTTGTATAGTTGTACGAAGATGAGTTTGTGTAGGGGTTTATGGCTTGAATGATCTTACTAAGAACAATTACTAATTACTAATAAAACGTAATATATAAATTATAATTAAATTGAATTCAATTGAATATATATTTTGTGTTTTTGTTGTATAGTTGTACGAAGATGAGTTTGTCTATGGAGGATTGAATGCTCTTGGTCCTTCTCTTCGCGTTGGATTTTCTTCTCGTCTTTGTCCCCCAAGAGCACCAATTGGATCTAATCAATTCGCTTATGCCATTGGATCATATTGCCAACTGCAGCACCAGCAGCAAGAGCAACAGCAGCAGCAGCAGCAGCAGCAGCAGGGGGAGCATCAGGGGGAGCATCAGGGAAAGCATCATCAGCAGCCAAAGTGCTGCTGCAGATGCACATGTAGCAGCAGTAGCAGCAAACGGGGAAGCAGCAGCAGCAGCAGGATGTTAGCTGCGAAGGTGGCTAGTGTAAGAGGGGCCCCTCGACTTGAGGGCCTCTTTGTTGTGACGGGAGGGAAACGAAAACGTCTTAAACAGTCAAACATCAATTTAGCTCTCTTCTGCCAGCATTCGATGCAGCAGCAGCAGCAGCTACTGCAGCAACAGCTTGAGCTGCAACAGCAGCGGCGGGACAAGCAGGAGCAGCAACCGGCTCCTGCGGACACAGCAGCTACAATGGCGCGGAAACCGCAGCAGCAGCCGCAGCATAACCCACACAACGAAGCAACAGAAACAGATGACGCTGCTGCTGCACTCGACGCAGTAGCAGCTGCAGCAACAACAGCAGCAGCACCTGCTGGTGGTGCTGCTGGTGTTTCGTCCTGCTATTGCTGTCGTTGCGCATGCGGTTGCGGTGCTGCCGATAGTGGTGTTCCTCCTTCTGCTGGTACTGCTGCTGCGAGCTGCTGCAGCGGCGAATCTGCTGCTACAACAGCAGCACCTAGTTTACAAGAAGGAGACATTGTTGGTTGCTTCGTCCATATGCCTGGAAGACCTCCAGTAACACTCGAAGACCCGAGGGGCCGTGCTGCTCTCTGGAGGTTCCTGCAGCAGGGTAAGCAGCAAAACATACACCTGCTGTCGCTGCTGGTGGTGCTGCTGCTGCTGTTCGGGGTAGCAATGCTGATACTGCCAGGGTTGCTGCTGCTTCTGCTGCTGCTGCTGTTGTTCATGCGTTTCTGTCTGATCTACCTCTAATCTTGAAGGGTGGTTTCTTCTGCTGCCTGTATAGTGGGTTCCCTTGGATGTTGCCGTGTCTGCTGTATGCATGCGAAACCCTGCTGCAGCAAGTTAGAGTGTACACGTAGGTTTGTGCTTTCGTGCTGCATTTTGAGTGTATTTATTTAATACAAAAGGGTATTTTAATTTGCTCATTAAATAAATTTAAATATTTAACCGAAAATGCTTCAATAATAATATAAATATGCAAATAGATAGATTTTCTTTGTCTTTTCTTTAGGTTTATTATGCGACATTACCCATGATACAACCCTCCCTGTAGGTATAAAACCTTATCCTTCTTCTTTTATTTCTTTTTCTATTAATGGTATTTTGTACCATAAAGTCTTTTCTCCTCTTCTTTGCTGCGAGTTACACCCTGCGGTGTCTCTCTTTAATGGGGCCTCCGCAACTCTTAACTTGGGGCCCCACTTCCAATTCCTCCCCTCCTGCCTCAGCAAATACTTCCGGTACCTTCCTTCTCCTCCTCCTCACCCTGCTGCTTTTGCTGCTGCTGGTCCTGTTGCTGCTGTTGCTGCCACTGGTCCTTGTGCTGGCCGTGCTGCTGCTGCTGCTCCTGCTCTTCCTGCGGTTGATGCTAGTGCTGCTGTTGCTGGTACTGCCGATGCTCCCGCCAGTGATGCTCCTGCTACTATTGTTGCTGCTGCTACTACTGCTGCTGGTGCTACGGGTGTTTCTGTTACTACTAGATTCTGCTGCATGTCTTGCAGTTGCAGCTGCCGCTGCTCCAAATATGCATGCCTCCTCCCAGTATTCTTGCTGCTGCCCCTGCTGCTGTTGCTGCTGTCAGGCCTGCGCAGGAAATGCTGACTTCTGTATATCCGCTGAAACACGACCTCGTAAAATTCTACTTGCTCGCTGCCGACAGCAACAGCAACAGCAATATCAACAGCAGCAACAGCAACGGGAAGGAGGATGCAGATGAGGTGGGAAGATCTAAAAGGCTGCGGACAATCGCTGAGGTTGAAGGATTAAAGGACGGAGCCGCCGAGGACCAGCAGCAGCAACACCAGCAGCAGCAGCAGCCGCTTCGCTTTGTTCCTTTTGATGAAAAAACTTACCTCCGCAAACTCAAGGCAGCAGCACCTCAATTTTTTCCTCCCGCCGCCCCATCCGTGCAGCAGCAGCATCAGCATCAGCGTCGACAGCAGCAACGGCAACAACAGCAGCATCATCAACAACAGCAACAACAGCAGGGCCATTCGCAGTACGACCAGCAGAAACTGCAGCAGCTGCACCTGGAAATGTCCATAAAAACAATGAAAGGTAGCAGCGGTGCACAGACAGCCGAAGAAGCAAAAGATGCAGCTATTTCGTTGACAGAAGCAGCAGGAGTAGCAGCTGAAGCAGCAGCTGCTGCTGAGGGACCCATCTGCGCTGCAACAGCAGAAGCTCAACACTAGGATGCCATACTTTAGGTAACACTCCAGCAGCAGCAGAAGCAGCCGAAGCAGCAGCGACAACAACAACAGCACCAGATACAGCAGCATATGCAGCACCACGATTTTTATTAGGGACAACAGCAGCGGCCTGCTGTTGCGTATTGTATTTAATTTTATCCTTTGTTTTCCCGCTCCACGAGCCGATTCCAGCCGTCAAACCCTAAGCCATAAAACCTCAACAGGTCTCTCTGCAGCATAACAAATTTGTCAGTATGCCAAAGCAGCTGTAACAGACACTGCAGGCGACACGCAGGTAGCGAGGGAGGCGTTGTTCTGCTGCTGGTGCAGCAGCGGCCACCAGCCCGCCAACAACGGCAGGAAACCAGCTTTGCTTCCGCCGCAGCAGCGCATGCGCGAGGCGCTGCAGCAACAGCTGCAGCCGCAGGCTGAGGTGCCTTTGCGCTGTTGCTTGTAAAGACCGCCTTAATTCATCGATACTTTAGCATATAGCGGTACGGCTTGCTGCAGCCAGCAGCAACTAGCTGTAACTGCAGCAGCAAGCTGGCTTGGCAGCAGTTTCCTGTCTTGCTGCAGTTTGCTGGAGCAGCGTCAGCCAGGTGACTTAGCAGCAGCTAGCTGGAGTAGCAGCAGCTAGGTATGTTAACTGCAGCTAGCTGTCGCCGCTGCTGTAAACCAGTAGCTTGCAGTTCTATCCTTTGTTAGCTAGCTGGATGACGCGGGTAGCCTTAGCTGCAGCTAGCTGTTCTGCCAGTAGCAGCTAGATGCGCAGCCACAGGCGGGTTTCGTTGCATACAGCTAGCTGCAGCTAGCTGTAAGGACATAGCCCCCTGTAAACTGTTGTATAGTGGGTCTCTCTAAAGATAGACGAAAAGAAGGAACAGCGACTGCATGCAGCTGGGGAGGCGATGCAGCACGGGGGGTTTACCGAGCTGTACATACACCTTATGGGTTATTATTAAGGTGGGCATGCACCTCAGGGGCTATTATTTTTACTATTACTAATATTATGCTGATTACGGCTATTACTAAAGTGTGCATACACCTGAAGCTGGGAGACCTTAAGCAGAACAAAATATAAGCATTTGTCTATTGCGGTATGGGCGGCAGTTGTTTATCCAATCCTTGCCTTCTCCCTTCACTGTTGCTCCATTGCCTCTTGCCCGTGGGCAGCTCACCCTCAGTAACGTCTCACAAACCAGCAGCAGCCGCTGCTGCTGCAGCCGCTGCAGTCGCTGGTGCGGTAACAGAAAACAGAAGGAAGCAATAGCTGAAGCAGCTGGTGCCTCAGTGGCCCTTGCGCTGCAACAGCAGACATAGCTGCGCTGCAACGCTGGCCGCCGCAGCAGTCGCGGCAGCACCAATAACCCGGGCCGCATGTGCAGCAACATCTACGCTATCTTGCTGCTGCTGCTGCGCCATTCGCGACCGCTCAAGACAGAACCTCTGCTAACCTGCAGCACACACAATGACACAAAAAGCGTTGCCCGTCCTTCTCCAGAGGCTGATAGTAGAGCCTCTGCAAGAGAATAGGCAATGAGACAATAAAGAGGAGCAAAGTAATAAACAAGCAATAGGAGACAGAAAAAGGAGGCGAAGGTACACAAACAGCAGCATTAGGGTCCACTTTCATATTCTGAGACTCCATTTCTTTCTCTGTCTCTCTTGCTGTCTGGCCCCTTTACTGTCTGCTTCTCCTTCTCTGTGTCTGCCTCTCTTCGCTGTTTCTGTCTCTGTGTCAGTTGCGGTTTCTGTGTCTGTGCCTTTCTCTGTGTCTGCTGCAGTGCTCCAGCAGCAGGAGCTGCAGCAGCGAAGAATGGATATGCACATTATCTCTCTGTCTCGCCTATCTCCTCAAGGGAGACAGTTACACTCATAGATTTGACAGAGAGAGTAAAAGTGACGGAGAAAGATACAGCTGCTGTTGGTGCTGTTGTTCTTGAGCTGTTGCTGCTGCTCACCAGTCCATTGCTGCTGATATGCCCTCTCCCTTGACAGCAGATGCGCCGAAGACGGACCAGCGCCTCTCCCGCAAAGAGGACAGACCCAATGCCATTGAAATCTGCAACAACAGGAAACAGTAAATGGAGACAGTAAGGGAAAAAAGGAGACACAAAAGAAAACGGAGAGAGCATCAATTGTCTCCTAGAGTCTCCATACTACCCGCTACCCTATGCCGTTTGTTGCTGTTGCTGCTACTGTTGTTGGTGCTGCTAACGTCCGTGCTCGTGGTAGCGCTGCGGTGCTGCTGCTGCCTGTGCTGCTGCGGAGCTGTTGCTGCTGCTGTTGTTGCTACTTTTGCTGCAGCAAAAGCATACCTCTCCTTCGTTGAGAGCCCGTGGGAGGTCCTGTTTATTTGCAATAACTGCAAGGGCTACATCCTTTAGCTCCTCCTCCTACACACAAAAACACGGCAACCTGCTGCTGCTGCTGCCGACGCTGCTGCCGGTTATGCTTGTGCAGGCACTAACTACATATATTTGCCGCAGTCGCAACCGCTGCCTATAGATCAACGCAGTCTGCTGCTGTTTAGCTTCGGCACAGTGGCAGCAGCAGCTCCTGCTCCTGCTGCTGCTCCTGCTGCTGCCGTTGCTCTAGCTACCTCTAGCATAAGCAGCAACTCCTGTCTTGCGTCAGGAAGCCGCTCCACGTCTGCGCTGTCGACAACGTAGATGAGGGCTTGAGTGTTTAGGTAATAACATCGCCAGTAAGGCCTACACGCAAACCCTGAACCCTAAACCATAAACCTTTAGACCCTAACCCGCTGACGAAGTGCAAACCCTAAACCATAAATCCTCAACCCCACACAGCACCCAACTAGGCGGTACCAGCAAACTCACAGCAAGTCGTAAACCCTAAACCGTATAAACCCTCAACGAATCGTACACTCTAGAAAACACAAAGCAAGCTCCCTGTGCCGAACACAAACCCTAGCTATGCATGCACCGATGGACCCTGAGATCTATTAGTAGACTTCGTGTCTAGTGTTCAGCATTGGAGGATTAGGGTTTACGGCTTACCTAATTGATGTTTGACCACCCAAATCCCACACCTGAAATTCGATGTTTTTGTATTTCACTGTTTCGACATTGAAACCAATTGCTGCATTACATACACGACACCAATATCTACTGCTGTTGTTGCTGCTGCTCTTCCGGCTGGATCTGGTGTTGCGGCTGTTTCAGCTTTCGCTGATGTTACTGCTCGTGCTATCGCCGCTACTGCCGCTAGTTCTGGTTCCGCTTCACCCACTTGGTACTGTTTGTATAACTTCGTTAAGGTGTAGGCGATCTGCGTACAAAGGGACAGCCGCAGCAACGGTGTTTCTACTGTCGTTGTCGTTGTTGCTGCTGCTTGGGCTGCTGCGCTGGAGGCAGCTTAGCTGCTAAGACAGCAGCTAACTTCTCAGCTATCTACATAGCTAGATAGGTAGGGGACAGGCTGAGTAGACAGGTACCTATGTCGGCAGCTAGTTACATCGCTAGCCACGGCGTGGCAGCGACGCTCGCCTGCCAGCGAGCTAGCTAGCTTTGTAGCCAGCTAGCCAGCATGCTTGACAGCTAGCCATGCATCCGGTTAGTTAGATAGCTATCCAGTTGTTTACGTACATAGGATGGTGGTCTTGCCGGCGTTGTCAAGGCCAAGAATCAACACGCGGACTTCGCGCCCCCCAAAGAGGCGCGGGAACCAAGAGGAGAGGGCCCCTCCCATGGCGTAAACCCTAAACCCTAAACCCCAAATATCCGAGCGTGAGCATTGAGGGTTCATACACTGAGGACGACGCGGGGGATCGGGATCGAGGGAAGACGATCCCGATCCCCCCCGATCACTGTGAATTCCAACCTACCCAACTTTTTAGCCGCCACACCTGCTGCTGGTGATGATGCTGCCGCAGCTGTGGTCGCAGCTTCTACTGTTGCTGCTGTTGCTGCTGCCGCTGTATCTGCGAGCGTTGCGGCTGCTGCCGTCACCACCAGTTGCCAGGCTGCAGCGGCTGCGGGAAAGTAGCTCCCCGTGGGTGTTCGTACACCGTCTTCATTACGGTTCGAGCAGCTGCTGCGGTTGCTGGAGCTGCTGCAATGTGCTACAGCAGCTAACTTGCTGCAGCAAGGAGCTAACCTGCTGCAGCAGACAGCCAACGGGCTGCAGCAGCACAGCTGGAAGGCAGCCGCGGGGAACCACCAGCAGCGCCCCGACTCACAAGGCCAAACGCCGACTCCAAAATGCTCAACTTTATTATTTTGAATATTCACAAAAAATGCAATGAAGACACAACCGCTAAAACAACGCGAGATGGAGCATGCAGCAGTAGCAGCAGCTGCTGCAGCGACTCGTGTTGCTGTTGCTGCTGCAGAGTCAGCAGCACAAGGACCAACGCTTCAGTGTCTGAAAAGAAATGGCGCCAAGCATTTCGGCATTCTGCTTTGGTGCTGCTTTAACGCAGTTCCCTTTCTGCTGTCTGCTCACTCGCGCGGCGGCGTACCTGGGAGTACGAGAGCAGTGCATATTATTCGTGTCTCATTAAATATACGCATTTGGCCCCCACCTCCCTCTTGCAGCAGACCCCCAAATGCCACATTCACTAAGTCGTGCAGTGGGCAATATGTAGGCTTTAGAAAGCTATCAGCTGTCATAGGAGTGGGGGTGGGGCAAGGCCTGCAACAGGCAGTGCAGCCTTGGTTCCTTGTAGGCACACTGGAGAACCTCCATAATCTTGGTTGGTGAGTGCTTGGCTAGCCTACAGGCCCCAAGTGTCTCAAGTAATTCATTGATTTTCCCTTGTGCAAGGTCATTTTGTGCTAGTGCAGGCAGTGTAGTGTTGTGTCATAATAGAAAGGTAGTACGTGTATTTTCCCGTTTTGTTTGTATCTTTGTACCATCAAGTTAGACAGTACTGCTGCTGCCTTGCTCATTTAGCCGCTCGAGCGCTCTAGTTTGTGGCGCGTGCGGCCTTACTAGGTTCGCAGGAGTCAAGAGAGCTGCCTGTCTTGAGGTAGTGCGAGCACTTCTACTTCTTCCTACTTGGAAGATTGAGCAGCTCGAGCCAAGGTAGTGTTTGAAAATTGCCTGTCCTAGGTGGATTATTTAAAGAGGGCTGCGATATAAGTAACCACGCTGGTTTCTCGAGGCAGGTGTTGCAAGAATCTGCTGAGATGCACGCCCCAGCATCCTCCTGTGTATGCCATCGCCACACATTTGTGCTGGTCTAGGGATGGGTTCTGGAGACTAAGAGAGGTCGGCTGTGAAGGGATATCCACACGAGTGATTTACAGTTATGTGCGTATAGACAATATGTAAAGAACAGAGAGAGAGGGAGGGAGGTAGCCCGTTGTTTTGTGCGTTGCGGAAAAGAGAACAAAGGGGTTAAATGTGGCAGCTTGCCAGAACACGCAGCACTTTTGGATCAAGTGGGGGAGAGCGCCTCTAAAATGAAAATGTTTAAAGAAGTATCCTTTACAAACTTCCACAGTGAAGAGGAAGCCACGGGGCCGAGGTGCAATCAGTAGGCCCATGCAGTTACCTGTAGCCGTCTACATACACGACAAGACGATCGGAACGCCCCCGGGTGGAGAGGTGGCCTTAATGGGAAGCTAGCCACATTACAGTGGTAACGGACACTTCCGTTGGAACAACCTCCCAATACAGAATAATAGTAGGCCGGCTATGGGGAACGCATGAGATATCTAGACTAGACTGTTTGTGTTTATGTGCGAATTGGCACGGAATGGCATAAGCTCCTAGCGCTTCCAACATCATTTATGCTGTGTACAGGAAGAAGAGTAATATCCGAGTAAAAACAAGAGGAGAGAAACGGCATTCCTGCCCAGCGCAGAAAAGCCGCCACATTCGGCCGAGATGCCAGAGTTTGTCACTCTACTCTTACGACGAGCACAATTTGGGGGGATTTGACCCAGTTAGACACGGAAAAAACGGCAGAGGTATCCACAAAGCAAAGAAGGCCTCCCCTGTCTACCAAATAACGAGGAGATTCAAAGCGAGATTGGCACCGTATGGAGGCCAAGCGTAATGCACCAAATTTCCCGCACGAAGCTGTGACTGGATATCCAGGCAAACCCAGCATAACGGAGAGGAAATCAACCGGTGGGACTACTCAGAAGAAGCAAAGTTCAACCGTCAATTCCCACGTCCAGGCGAATATTATTGCTGACGGATTAAAGGGACGCGAGGTGATGCTTATGCTTAGAGCCCACGTGAAACGAACAGTTATCTATGCATCGGAGCGGTTCACTGCTCCGCCTCATGCGGTGTTCCGCAGTCCTTTTATCATTTGGTTTCGCCAATGCGTATATGTAGATTGGAATAGGCCTCGTCGACAGGCATCACACTACGCTGCATGCTTACACGCACAAAGCTTAACACATCTGTGTGCCATTCGCATTTTGTGGGCACCTGGCAAGGAAGGCTGCCGACCCCTTCCGTGTGGTATGCAGCTCCTACAATGGAAGTACAATTTTAGGCAGACCAAGGTACATGAACGCAGCGCCCGAGTGCTTAGGACATCTTACTTGCAGTTCACAATAGCCCCACCATAGTTTTCGGCACCGTCGTTAAAGACTCCTATCATACACTCAAGGAGCGTAAGTCGCTGCGCTCATGATGCCGGGAGATTCAAGAAGGAATTCAACTGCATATGGGTAATATTACTCCACTGAGGCTCACAATATTCCTCGCATAAGATCCAGAACCCGCACTTCAGTTGCAGAGACCCTGTTACAATGACCCTCCCTACAGAAGGGCAGGCAGTCGTCCCCTCCGATGAATTCTCACTACGCTTTCACAACTCATGTCACAGAATACTGTAAGTATTAAAACGTACGCATACATATGTGGCAAATAAGAAGAAGAGAGCTGATCCTCCCTAACTTGCAGCCGTGGTACCTTGTTCCCCAAGGGTAGTGGCTGCCGGGGTGCCGTGGCCATCTGCAGTATTCTTGTGTCTCGTTGCGAACAAAACAAGCAATTAAACCAACCAATTTAGTAACAAAACTACATTTGTCTACTGGACACTGCATGAAGCCCCACACCCGCTGTGCAGCACTTCATGTCTCGCATCTTGGTGGCTGCTGCACCGAGGCGAGACGAGTAGCAGGGGCGCTGTGTAGTTTCTAGAGGGGACGACAGTGGCTACTTAGCGGATCACTAAAGTCTTAAAAGGGATAGAAAAAAGGCAAAAATATATACATTTTTTTAGTAGGGGTCCATGGACTCGAGGACATCAACCCAGCCAGTGCCAGCCACAGGGCTCCCCCGTACTACGCAAGCTGTTGCTGCTAGGCTAGAAGGGCTTACAGACAGCTGCATTATGTAAAATTTTCTCGTTTCTGTAATGTGTTCCGTTTTTCTGTCAATCTCTAGAATTCCAGGGGGCCTTTGATGTCGCTGCAAGGCTTGTGCTGCGGCTGCTGCTAGTGCTGCTGCTGCTGCTGTACGCCTAGGCCGCGCCGAAGCTGCTGCAGCAGCACCTGGCGGCAGCTGAGGCTCCTGTAGGGCCGGCAGTCCCCATAGAGGGTTTTGCTCTTATAATACCTTTGTATTCCCCTTTAAATCCTTCTTTAAGACAGATTTAACGTGATTTGAGGGTTTAGTAGAGGGGCTCGTGACTTACAGGGGAAGCAGCCTCCCACGCAACAGGGCCCCCGCCCTGCCTGCTGCGCTGCTGGAGGGGCCTCCTCAGCAGCAGTTGCTGCAGGAGTTGCTGGTGCTCAGGCCGTTTGGTTTTCATAAACTGGATAGGGGGAGTAGTGCGGCATCGCGAGGTTTCTGTGCGTGTCTCTGCAGCAGCAGCAGCTGCTGCTGCTGCTGTTGCTGCTCCTTCGCTGCATGCTTGACGCGTCTCGCTCGAGGTGCTGCTCTGAGAGTCTTTCCACCCTGCTCCCTCCTCAGTGGCTCTCCTAGACTTTCTTTGTTTCGGAAGGGAGGTGTCCTGCAGGCTGATACACCCAGGGGCCTGTCCGCTCTCACCTGTCGGTGCATTGGAGGAGCAGCTTCTGCTCTGCTGCTGCTGTTGCTGCCGGGTCCCTCCCGCGCTGTGTTGCTGTGCAAGAGCTGGGAGCTTTTGCAGCACCCACGACAGTTGAATGACGCCTGTTGTCTCAGACGCACTGGGAGCTGTGGGGCCGCTGCTGCCGCCTCGTATAGCAGCAGCAGCAGCAGCTATTGCTGCCGCCGGCTCCGGCATTTGCTAACGCTAAGGAGCTCATTGCAGCAGCAGAAGGGGGGAGAGGCTGCTTCGTGATTTCTAAAAGTCCTCTCCCTTAAGGCGCAGGGTATGAACTTCCTCATGGAAGGGCGCACAGCAGCAGAGGCCTCCAGGCCACTGGCAGCAGTTGCAGCGCCTGCTGGTACAACAGCAGCAGCAGGGAATGCTTCTTTTGCCGCACATTCTGCTGTGCCGTCTCATGCCTTCGCCAGATCTGCGGCGCCCTTCGCAACCCCAGCTGCCGCCGCAGCAGCAGCCTTCCACGCCGTTGCTGCCGCAATGCCTGCAGCTGCCAACCCAGCAGCAGCAATGGCGACAGCACTTGCTGCAGCTGGGAGGCCCCTCTCCGTTGGGGGTGTCCCCCAGGCTGCTGTTGGGCCTCTCTTGCAGCAGGCACAGATGCCTTGTATTGGTGTGCCTTCACCTAACGCAGCACCAATCGTTTCTCCTGCAGCAGCTGCTGCAGCAGCGCCTCCTACTGCAGCATCTCCATCACATGTAGGAGGGCCGACCAGAGGAGCAGCTCATGGTATACAAGGCAGCCCTTACACAGCAGCTCCAGCAGCACCACCACCACAGCAACACACGGCAGCCCCACCACCTCCGGCAGCAGCTCCTGCGGTTGCAGTGCCACAACGTACTGGAGCTTCTGCTGCAGCAGCTCCTGCCCCCGCAGCATCTGCTGTAGGTGTTCCAGGTCCTGGAGGAGGAGCGCATATCCCTGCTGCTTCACATCACGTAGGGTCACCATCCCCAGCAGCCACAGCAGCTCCCGTAGCAGCTACTGCAGCGTCGGCGGCTCGTGGTGCGTCGCCTGCCCCCGTGTATGCTGCTGCTGCAGCCAGCCCTCCCGCGTCTGCTGCAGCAACTCCTGCCACGACGAACATTGCTGCAGCAGCTGCGAAGGCAGCTGCTCCACGGGGTAGCCGTGCGGGTGCCCGGGGTGGTCGTCGAAACCGGGGAACCGCACCAGCACCAGCAACAGCAACAGCTGCGCCAACACCACCAGCAGCACCTGCGACACAAGCTGCTGGAGAGAGGCCCCAGAGGGCGCGAAGGGCCCCGCGAATGTTTGAAGTGGACGCAGCGGCCGATGACAAGCTGCTGAAGGTCGCCATTGGACGCTCTCTCTTGGTGAGACACCATTAGGCTCTGCTTCAGCTATTGCAACTGCTGCTGAGGCGGCAGCAACAGTTGTGCGGTTAGCAGCAGGCTTGTTCAGGGGCACACACTATCGCCTGGGAAGGAACGAGAGAGCCCTCTTTTGTGTTTTGTTTTTGTGTTGGACTCTCTCTAGTTCTGTAGGGGGAATTGAGTATAAGACTGTTTGCTTACATAGTGGGGCTGTGTTGTGTTCCATTTCTGCTAGCTTCATTGTGTTCAACTTTGTCTCGCGTTTGTCTGTTGTGCATTGTTGTTTTCCTGTCTTTGTTGCTGGCTGTTTCTTTTGTTGCCTTTGTTCGTTTACCATTAGTGTTTGTTGAACATCGCTTGTTGCTTTCCGTTGCTTTTAATCGTTGTTTGCTGTTGTCTGTCGTTTGTTTTATCTTTGTTTAGCTGCGCTGCTCTGCGGTGAGAGCAGCACGAGGCGGAGCGGCGTTGCACCGTCTAGCCACCTGTGGAGGTGTATCGATGTGTACTCTATGTTTTGATTTTGTTTCGGATTTTATTCTTATTTTATGTCTTCTTTTTGCACAGGAGACACGTCGCGTGGAGATGAATTACTCTTCTTTGCCTGCTGTTCCTGAGCTACGCTTTCCCTCGCGCGCTGCTTTCTCTGCTAATCCGATTTCCTTCTTCGAGAGTCTGCGCGCAATAGGCAGGGAATTCGGAGCTGTCAAAGTTATTCCTCCAGAGGACTGGAGTCCCCCATTTGCCCTCCAAGCCCTCATCAACGATCAGGCGCTTTTCCATGTTCGAACCCAAGAAGTTCACTCTCTCATGTCGGGCAAGGTAAACATGCATGCAGTTGCAATGCAACTCCCGATGTGTATTGCTATATAATGCCTTCCAAATAATCCCATTTTGTACCTTACTGTACCTTATGTTTGGTAGTACCTTTAATACTCCAGTGCTATCGACATACCTGTGCTTGTGCTGTGCTTATGCATTCTGCAGTAGTGCGTGCATGGACTTTTCTGTATGAGCTACTACATTCGTGTTTCTCCTGCGTCGTTAGTGCGTGCTGCCACAAGTGATGTGTGGTGTCGGTGTGGTGTTGTTTTCGCTGCAGCCGTTTCAACACCCAGAGGCGCCAGTGCATGCGTCGGAGTTGCGTTCGCACGACCGCGAGTTGACTCGGCAGGTCTTTGGCTGTTGCAGTCCCAGCATCGAGACAGTAGAGGCAGTGTACTGGAAAAGCGTTGAGAGTGGGGCCCCACAACTGACAGTGCACTACGCAGCAGATCTACGCACCAACGAACTGGGAAGCGGCTTTCCAGTGCCCCCCGAAGGAACACCAACAGGCGATGCTTCACTGGACGGCTCTACAGCAAACTGCGCCAGGAGCAGCAGCAACGCTAGCAGTAGCAGCAGCGCGAGTAGCGGCAGCAGCAGCACGGAGGCCAGCGTGGGAGGTAGCCCGCAACAGCGGCAGTGCCACGCCCCTGCGCCGCAGGCGCACGACGGCATGACCAAGACGGAGCCCCATCTCCAACCGCAGCAGCAGCAGCAGTTGGAGCAGGACTACGACTACGCAACTCATCCCTGGAATCTGGCGCGCCTGGCTCGGGTTGAAGGCTCTCTACTGCGGCATTATCATCGGGATGTGCCTGGGGTAACGTCACCGTGGCTTTACGTGGGTACTGTCTTCTCGAGCTTCTGTTGGCATACGGAAGACAACTTCTTCGCCGCGTGCAACTACCACCACTGGGGGGCACCCAAGGTACTGTTACTTGCTAGATTTCTGCTGTTTTTGGTGGTTTGCTACTGCCATTTGCCGCTGTCGCCTTTGTATGCTGCTTGCCGCTGCTGGGTTCTTGTTGGCTGCTGTTTGTTTTTGTCGGGTGCTGATTGGCGTTTATGTTCCGAATTAGTAGTTCTTGTTATTGTTTGGTGTTTGTTTGCCACCATCTGCTTTTCCTGGTTGCCGATACTCGTTGTCGTTTGCTGTTCTTCGTTGTTTGTTGTTAGTTGTTAGTGTTTTTGTTATTTGCTGGCCTGTTGTTCTCTTGGTGCTGCTTCCAGTTGCGCAATGGTGAATATGCCGCTTCGCACGAGCTACCGAGACACCGCAACACCATTCATTGCTCCTGTGTCAGCCTCACAGGCTACGTCAAGCTGGCACGTCTTTGGCATGCTTGTGCTGCTGCTGCAGATATGGTATGTGGTGCCGCCTTCTCGGGCTCCGTCTGTCGAACGGACGCTGCAGTCTTACCTTGCTGATCGGGATCCTCATTATGTGCTGCACTCGTTAACGGTGCAGCTGCCTCCTTCGTTGTTTGTGGAAAACAACATCCCTGTCTACCGCATCGAACAACACGCCAAGGAATTTGTCATGCTGTGGCCACGCACGTACCACGCGGGATTTAACGCAGGGTACGCAGGGGCCACCTCGCTGGAGCTGTTGTTGCTGTACTCCTGTGGTTGTGGCTGTGTGTCTCCTTGGTGTGGTGTGGATCTTCTCGATGTTCTACCCTCCGCTTTGCATCTGAAGCACCCAAGCACATGCGTCGTATTGGGGATTTGTGTCTGTTTCGCGTGTGTTTTTTTTTGGGATTCAGGTTTAACTGCAACGAGGCGTGCAACTTCGCGCCTCCTCTGTGGCTGCAGTGGGGCCAAAAGGCCATTCGGAGTTACCGGTACATGCGTTCTACGTGCATCCCTTATCAGCAGTTAGTGCTGCGTTCTGCACTGCAATCGTCTGGGGGGTTTTCAGGGCGACAGCAGCTCGAGCTGTGTAGAGCGGTGGCTCGACTGCTGCTTGAGGAATTCGCTGGCCGAGCTGCTGCAGTTGAGCAGCATCTTGCTGCAGCTCCCATGCAGCTTGCCGCAGGACAGCTGAACCTGGTGGAGGCTCTCGACCCAGAGGTGAAGGGATGGCGGCAAGACTTGAGGCGGCTTCTCTCTTCATTTGGGGATCTGCTGGTGCCTCTTCCCTTCGGCGATGAAGAGGGGCCCAAGGAGGAGCTGCTGCAGCGGATGGCTCGGGTGCTGTCGCTGCCGGTTAAGGATTGCAGTAGCTGCAAGGCATGCTGTTCCCTCACTTGCGTCTCCTGCTGCCACCAAGAAGACTACGTGTGTCTCGAGTGTACCGGCAGCCTCTCCTGCAATTGCGCGCAGCGCATCGTTCTCACCCGTTTCCCGCTCCCTACCCTGCGGCTAATTTACCAGCATTGTCTGGACACGCTGATGCTGCTCACCAAAGAAGCGACAACAGAGAGAGCGGGAATAAAGCAAGTGCAACAGCAGCAGCAGCTTGGGGAGAACAGTGTGGGAGAAGGCATTGTGACGAAGGAAGGCACAACTGTGTCTGTGTCTTCTGATATGCCGGTCAGTGCCGCAGTGGCGACAGCAGCAGCAGAAGTTGCTGCAGTTGTCGAGGGAGTAGCTATGAAGTGCCCTTCTCCAGGAGCAGATGAACTAGCCCCCCGTAAGAGGGGGAGGCCTCGCGCTGCCTCCCGGGCTGTCGGAGATGTGAAGCGGCGAGCAGCAGAAGCAGGGGCTGCAGCGGCACACCAAGAGAAGCCTCTTCTGCAGGAGATTCAAGAGGACACGCTGTTGCAGTCCGTACCCTCAATGAGCGACCTCGTGGCTCTTGAGCGCAAGGCCTACAGAGGAGTGGACTTCTACGCCGTCAGCTACAACGACGAGGCGGAGCACGAGCCAGAGCCGCAGCCGCCTTCGCCGCCAGCTTCCAGCACTGCGCTTACCTCTGTGGGGGTTGACCCCCTACAGCAGCAGCAGCAAGAGCATCATCACCATCAGCAGCAACAGCAGCACCACCACCACCACCACCCCGCAGTCGCGCAGTTGCCCTCAGCAGACAACCCTGCCCTCCTGCACCAACTAGGCCTCCAGGGATTTGCGGCTGCAGCGCTGCAACACCGCTCGTTGCAGCAGTCACAGGAGGCCCAGCAGCAGGAACTCAAGCAACAGCAAGAGCTGCTGCAGATCCAGCTGCTGTTGGGGGAGCAGCGCATGCTCGACAGCCCCACGGAACAGCAGCTCGCAGCCCTACAGCAACACCACGAACAGCAACAGCTGCAGCAGCAGCAGCTTCAGCAACAGCACCGCCAACTACAGCAGCAGCAGTTGCAGTTGCAGCAGCAGTTGCAGCAACAGTTGCAGCAACAGTTGCAGCAACAGCTACAGCACCAGCAACACCTGCAGCAGCACCAGAGACATGCAGATTTGCATTCGTTGCAAGCTGGGGCTCTGGAGTTGCATCCCCATCACGGCTTGCTGCCGCACTCCCAGGGGAGCAGTAGCTTGACTTCCCTCTCTAGCCAAGCTCCGCCGCAGCAGCATCAGCAGCTGCAGCATCAGCGTGAGGGGGAGCAGCGGCTACACGGCGTTTCTCCCCTGACGCACCGGCTCGCCGAGTCCCGTAGCAGCAGTCAGGTGGGGGGTGCGGGTGTGGCACAGCAGCAAGAGGGAGGAGAGGACAGTAGCACAAAGAGCAGGGAGCCACTGGCGGTGGATTGCGGAGAATGGGCTCCGTATGAAGTGGGGTCGCAGCTCGATATAAGTGTGGGGCGACTAAGCTGCTCGCAGGTGCCGGCCCCCGAGGAGGCGCCTCCCGCTGCGGGCCGTAGAGGTCGCAGGGTAGTGCCCTTCAGGGTGATTCCCCCGGAATTAGTAGTGGACAGAAGGCGCGAGTTAGCAGTGCGAAGGTATGTACAGCAGCTGACGTGGAGATACTTCATCAAGACGCTCAAAGAGGAAGCGGAGGACGATGACGAACAGATCCTCCCCATGTTCAAACGCGCCGCAAGGCCAGAAGCTTAGGAGTGTTTGAGGTTATTGTTGCACCTGCTGTTGTTGCAGTTGCTGTTGCTTTTGTTGAAGGGGCATGAGAGAGGCACTGTGATAACGATAGATACATATCTTTATTATTCCGTGCATGAATCGCATTGACCTATGTCATGTTTGCATTTGCGGGTTCTGCGCGGACTTTCGGCCGCAACATAATTTTTAAAATTGGGGTAATAAGAGAACTGCCTAGAGGGACCGCTTCCACTCGTCTCAAGTGGGCCCTCGCACTGCTGTAACTGTTCGCTGGTGCATGCACAAAGGTGAAGTGTTCTCATGTGTGAGTTCATGTACTGTTGCGACAGAGGTGTATGTGCGGTGCCCTAGTAGTAGTACACGCACGCAACGGTGCATCAATAAAATATATGTATATTATACAGTATATATGTGCATTTATATGTAAATATATATAAATGTATGTGTATGTATATATATGTATATATATCTATATTCGCGTACTTTACCTATGTAGATCACACATACTGGATGTGTAGGGAAACGAATACAGGGCAGAGTTGAAAACAGTGAGAACGCACTGCGCCGCAGGCAGAGGAACCGATCCTGGGTTGACACGGCCTTCGTGGCTTTCCTTGCTGCTGTGCCTTTTGTCTGCCTGTGATTGGGGGATATCTCACTGCGGCAGCCTTAGGTCATTATTGTTGCAGGCAACGCGTTGTCGCCTGCACCTCCCGAACATAGAACAGAGGGAGAGGGTATGCCGCTACCGCAAGCCAGACGGGCTCCTACCAGTTTTATTTATCTCAGACGAACTCGGGACAGCTGTGTGCTGCTGTATAACGCACTGCAGCGCTAGTTACGAAGCAGCTTGCAAATTGCTAGCTGTCACCTAGTTGGCGAGCTAGCCACGATACGGCTAGCTGTTTTCCTAAGGAACTCGGGACAGCTTGGTGCTGCTGCATAAGACACGGCAGCGCTAGTCACGTTGCAACAAGCATTTGGCTAGTTTGTCAGCTATCTAGCAACCGGCCACCTAGTTGTGTTTTCCATGCAAAGCCTCTGAAGCATCTAAGCGCCCTCGATGGATGCTCTCATGCACCTCCGACAAAACTTGCCTCCATGCAACAAGACAGACCCGGGAGCAACGCGGCCAGCGTTCGCTTTTACGAGGCCTGAATTGCGGACCGTACAGCCCAACAGCCTATAATCACGGAATACCAAAGTTTACAAATGTTGGAAGCAATGCAGAGAAGCACCGCTGATAAAAATGTTGTTCACTTGCTTCGGTGAGGTGAGCAAGATTTGAAATGGAGAGCCAACAGCAATGGGTTCGCCAACAAGCGTATGTCCGTTGCATGGAGCAACGGGGTGAAACTTCTATTGTGCAACTCGCTTCCGTTTGACGAACCCTCGGCGCCTGAAAATGGCTTCTCTCATGCGCGTCTTCCTTTGCAGCTCCTTGGCTTTGTTTCTGCGGCGTTTCCTCTGAGCGTGTGCCTGCGGATTTTCAAGGAAGGTTTGCTGGGCCTTCAGCTTCCTCATCACCCGCTTGGCTGAGACACTCTGCCGCGTGGCTGCCAGCAGCACGCGGTACACATGCTCATGGCCGCTGTTCCTGAGGAGCTGTTCCATGCGGCGAAGCACAATAGTCCCTCCCGTTGCAACCTCCCCCAGCTGCAGCACAGGTCTGAGAGAACGCAGCGAGTCCCAGAGGTCCCTCTGGCTGCCTTCCCGTGCTTGAAGGCCTCCTCCAGCTCTCGTACTGCCAGCAACACTTTCCTTTGTACGCAGATCTTCGCCTTCAATCAGCTGCGCCAGCACCGAATCAGAAGCCAGCTCGGCATGAAGCGTCGAGCACCGATACGCCGCATCTGCGATATGCTCGAGAATCGTACGCACAACGCCGCTCGATGGTGCTTCTGCTCCTCGTGTCTGTGTCTTTTCCGTGGAGTGCTGCAGCTCCGCCAGCGGAAGCAGCTTGACCAGAGAAGCGAAGAAAGCAACAATTCCAGAGACACGGGCAACTGTGCCCGGAGCTCCCCCCGATAGTTGAAGACTGTCGCTGAAACCCAAGCGACCCAGGTGTATGCGTAACCAGCGATTGAGCCCTGAAACAAGGAACACCAGAGGGTGCATCGGTGTTGTTGCTCTACAAGAAACTTCCTCTGTGCTGGCGCACCCACGCTCAGGCGAGAAGACACTCCAAGAGGCCTGCGGCAGGGGGAGCGCAGCGGTGGCTAGCTGCGTTGCTGCCACAAAGCTCTCTTTGTCGTCCTTCGAAGCCTCCCGTTGCATTTCTTCTAAAACAGAATCTTCTGCCTCGCCGCCATCTGTTGGGTCTGCCGTCACCTCTTCACCGTCAACGTCAGATGAGGACTCCCCACCCTCTGCTTCATCTTGCGAAGAGTTGTCATCTCCAGACTCGCCCTCAGAGGCTGAACCAGGAGCGTTTGTTGACTGTGCAGGCACAGCTGTATCCTCGGAATTCTCCTTCTCGTCTTTACCACCAACACAGTTGTTGTCAGAGCCATCAGGGGGGGAAGCTGCGAAATCACCAGCTGCCTCTGCCTTCGTTGCGTCTACACCTACGTCTGAATACCACTCGCCTTCCTGCGTAGGAAGCTCCTCCTTCTCAGTCATTTCAAAGTCGCCTTCCGCAACTTCCAATTGCTGCTCTGGAGCGTCCTCATGGCAGTTCTTAACTTTCGCGGGGTCGCCGCACGTGCCCCGATGCGCCCGCGTCCTTCTGCGCTGTTTACAGGTGACCGACACAAGGTGGGGGAAGGTGTAGGCTATCTGAGCCCAGTGGAGGAGAGCGGCGATCGCACAAGGGGCAGCAGACGGGTGCCGCTCTAGCATGCTGTCTCTGCCGAAGTGCTGCCCTAGGGCTAAGCCTAACGCTGTCAGGGGAGGTGGCTGTGTTGCTGAAGCCGGACTTCCCTTCGGCATTCTTGTCTTCCTTCCTACAACTAGAAAAGCAAGAAGAGGAACATTGGCGCGACGCCAAGCGGCAGCCGGTGTTCGCTGCAGGTACTGAGCCACGCAGCGCAGCGCCGCGGAACGCACCCACGCATTTTCATGATGAAGACCGATTCCCAATATGTTGTTCCAGAGCTGTGCTGCATGTAGCCCCGCAAAAACTTGTTGGCGCTGCTGTAGGTTCTGATTGGTAGGTTTCGCCGCCTTTTGATCCTTCGGCAAAGAGCTTGGCGGGGGCTGCCATACATTCAAAGAGTTGATGAACAGCTGCATTCCTCTCCTCTCCAGAGCTGTTCTCTCAGCCTCCTCAGGGGCATCATTTGCCGCATCTGCAGTCAGGCTGTACAGCGCCTCAACGCCAGCATCGCTAAAGAGCTGGGCAGCTTTCCCGAAGGCCTCCTCCATCCAAGGAAGGCAACCAGCTGCCAGCAATTCTTCAAACACCAGAGTGACCTTGTAGAGCAAACGCCAGTCGATAGGCGCATCATCTCCTGCCGCTACGTAGGAAACAGCGCAGAGAAGTTGTGTCACTTTCGGCAAGAAGGGGGCAAGGCCCCCCTTCTGAGCCATCCATCCCCCAACAAGAGGCACAAAAACGCTCAAAAATTCAAGCAGAGCCATTAAGTGCTGCATCCGTGGCACTAAGAAAACCCTGCGCGCAACACGCCACACCATAAACAGAGAGGCCACATGCAACGATACCAAAGGAAATGGCCCGGCACGTTTCACCTAGGTACGCTTGCAATTTGGCCTTCAACAGAAGTGTTCAGATAGACCTGCGAACTCCAACGGATGAACTGTACTGGCGTACTTTGCGACTGTCTTCAGTTGATCCTGGAGACGTGATATGGGGTCTTCTGCCACCTCGACGAGCTGCAGCACTTCCCGTACGACCTGCTGCAGCATCCAATAAGCCGTCTGGTCTGTCTCTGTAGCTAGCGTTGAGCAGCACGTTAGCAGCGCGACCTGCCCGTATCGTTCCATAAACAGCTCAGCTGGGAACCGCCTCTGAGCAAGCAAACAAAGCACACGGAATCTTAGACAAACCTGAGTCAGTCGATGCACTGCTGCAACAAACCTTTACTAGGCACCCGCAAGGAGCTTTTCAGATCACAGCGCCAGACAGCAACGTCTAAAGATGTGGAGAGCCGAAATCCCCTGCCGTTGAGAGCTTAGGGCCCAACAGATCCATCAATTGGGTCCTCTTCATTTCGAATGACCAAGCGCTTCAAGGAATTCAAGTACGAGAACATGTCAACTCAGAACGAATCGTATGCCTGGTATTTCACCTGGGTGAAGTGTCATCGCTGGTATCATTTTGGCGTTTTGCTACAATACTACACGCAGGAGTATCTCTCCACATTTTTGCACCCCAAAAGCAACAGCAAGAAAGGCTTTTCTACTCCGTATAGAGCGGTTACTGAACGACACAATAAGTGAATACGTGCTTCACTGCTATATGCACTCACCACCACCTTGTGCAGTGCCGCGATGGCCGCCCGTCGGCCGTAGAGGTCTGAGAACTTCTGCTGCTGAAACAGAAAGAAGACGCGCCGTTGCTGCAGCCGAGGCGTCATGGGGAAGTTGAGGAGAAAGGAGACGTAAACGTCGGCGCAAATGGTTGACAGCTTCTGGCTGACTGCTGAGAAAGTAGCATGCTGTACCATCACCCTAGCCACGCGATCAACACACTCATAGACGAGCGGCAACAATTCCGCCGCTGCTGTTTGCTGCTTATCCGGTTTGCCTTCCCCTTCTTCCGCGGCTTTCGCATCTCTCTGTCGCTTCTTCTGGGCACGCCTCTGTAGAGCTTGGCTGCTTAATTCTCCAGCAGCCTGCTTCGACTCCTCAACGGCACGCCGCGCAGCCTCTCCCACAAGTTCTTTGTAATGCTGCAGAACAACCCTTCTGAAAAGGAAGAGAGCACACAGCTGCAGTTGGCTGTCTTCTAAAGATGACGAGATGTGTGCCAGCAGAGCTTCCTTCAAGCAGAATTGCCCAGCTGCCTGCAATTGCTCCTCGGTTACTGCTGCGCTTGCACTGAAGCTTAGCTCCGCCTGAGGCGACATCACTCCAGCTCCTCCATTTCCCTGCTGCTGTCGCTTTTGTTGTTGCTGCTGCAGCTGCTGGCGTTGTTGCTGTAGCTGGTCTTGGTACCTCCAAGGCAACACGCGGAGCTGTTCTCGCAGGAGGGATCTGAGCATGTCCCCGCCTATATGTTGCGACGGATTCAGCGCGGTGTCCATCCATTTTGAAGCCTGAGGCTGCAGCAGTAGAACAGCTAAGAGTTTGGTGCAGATCGGAAGAAGCTCCGACCGAGCTGTGTAGTGGTCAGCGCCATGTATACCGCTTCCGCCTCCGCAGGAGTGGAAGATCTTCATTGTCAGGTAGGCCACAAGCGCGCCTCTGTTTTCGAGACGAGGAAGACGGAATGCAAGCATCTCCAGCAAGCACCGGGCACCCCACGAGACCAGCTTTGTTGACCTGCAGCTGAAACAGCAGACGACGCCAAGTGCCACTTCGTCCAGCTGGTCCATGCATCCCCGCAGAGTCACCTCGTGCATCTCCTTCACGGCCTTCGCAGGTCGTTGCTCAGAGGCGAGCCCCAGCTGCTTCTCCCTGAATGTTTTCAGAGGAGTCTTTGCTGCCTTCACAGAGAGATGAAGAAGACGCAGAGCTGCTGTCCCCAGCAAAGCCGACTGCGTGGGGAGCTCTAGGCCAGTGGCTCCTTGATCAGGTTTGTTACGGGTTGCTTGTGCTAACGAACGACCTGTGATGGCGCCGGGTTGCAGGGTGAATCGCCGGTCTTTGCTCGTAGTGAGAAGCGATACCAGCAGCTTCCTGCTGCTGTTGGAAGCCCCGCCCTCCCGCCGCTGGGACACGGGGGGGGCTCCTGTCTGGCCATGGGTATTTGCTCCGTCATCTTCGGCTTCCGGAACCAGCAAAAGTCGCAGCGTTTGCAGGTCTTCTTTATGAGAAGGAGACAGATCTAGCGGAAGAGGGCTTTCTGACTCTGGCTCAAGCGTAGGAACCGCTGCTGGTTTGCTGCTTTCTGCGCCAGGCTGTGACTCTTCGTTGGTGTCACTGTTTGTGTGCGGCTTCTTCCCCCGCTTCTTGCGACCCAGTAATAGCAGCTGCTGCTTCGAAAGCAGAAACAAGGATTCGTTTAGGCCACGCTCGGCTTGCAGTACAGGGTGAAGAAGAGGGAACTGCAAGGTTGCAACTGTGAGAATGAGCAGTTGCTTTGCAGTGCGCAGCTTCTTTTCAAGCGATATCTTGTTGTTGCGGCTTAAGCCAAAGACGAAATGCAGCAGCAAATCTTCAGCCCGGTTGACGTATTTGCTTGAAAAGGCAGCTGAGCTGCTCCACCCCTCGCGTTTACACGACGCCCCGGTTAGGAGGCCCAGCACAAATGGAAGTAACTGGTCTCTGAGGCACTCGGGGCTGCTATCTTTTGTCAGGAGCAACAGCAGAGACGGTCCTTTCAGGGACTGCGCCTCCTCCACCTTGGAGTGCGTGCTAACATCAGTCAGCTTTGCAACAGAAGAACTCGAAAGACCCCCACCTTCATTCCCATCCAGCTGTCCGGCCAACGCTCGCCGGCTCTCCCCTTGGTCGAGACTGTCTGGATCTGCCACTCGGTTTATTTCCTAAGAACATGAACAAACGTTGCCTCCCCAGAATTCCACAGGAGCTCCCGCACCGGCGGACTGCACCGATGGGGCAATCGTGTGTACCCACAAAACTCGCATCTGCGCCTCTTGTTCCGTCGAAATACATGCAGCACTTACCTCGGCGATGAGAGGAAGCAGCAATGGGACTGCGGCTTCGAACTTCTGGACAAACTGTGTGTCGTCAACAGAGGTGGCTTCTTGAGATGCGTCCAGAGCAGCCAACTCTGTCGATGCGCTTTGCTGCTGCTGCTGGTGCAAGGCATTCAGCATCGCATGCAGTGTGAAGAGCAGCACCGGTCGTAGAAAGCTCTGCTGATCTGCCTCTGGGTTCTTCTCGCTCTTGGGCCCCAACGTCCTCTGCACTTCCGTCACCAAGTAGGTGAAGTATGGAGAGCCCAGGTTGACAGTCAAGCGGGTTAAAGCTACGCGGGCGTCCCGACGAGCAGTGCGCTCTCGAGACCTACTCCAAATCAACGCAACACAGATGCACGAACAGATGAAGGCGAGGACGTTGATATGCCCTAGTGCATGACAGCACGACAAGGCGGAAAAGGGAAGGTACAGGCTGTCGATGAAACAACCTTCCCAAGGTCTCCTCCCCCTTTCCCTGAATTCCAATCACTGCAACCCAAGACAGGGTCACGCAACTCACCTTAGAGCGAACGCAACTGAACGGACAAGACGGGGTAGCTGCAGATGGAATTCCGTAGGTGGTAGCATCCGCGCCAGCAGGGCAAGGACGGCTACTAGCTCTGTGCGCACCACTGGGTTTTCGTATGTTTTGCTGGTTTTCTGTTCAAGGAGCTTCTCTGATGCATCAGCAGTGTCTCCCTTTGACGTCACACGCCGGACCTTGCTGCCAAAGGCAAGGGGGTACAACATAGGGATGAGCTCATCTCTGATGCAAGTCTCCACCCTTTCCTTCCTGAGCAAAAGCCAAACGGCAACAGCACATAAGAACAGCAATTTTTGGGAATAATGACTACCACAGAAACACTCGCATGCCACTGCTAAGCTAGACCCACCTCATCTGTGCAATGCGCTTTTTCGATGCTTCTTTCCCATCAGATTCATCTTCGCTGCTTGTCACCCCGTCACCCCCTTCCTGGCAAGGAAGACCAGTTGCTGGCTGCTCTCCCTGGCATGGCTCTTGCGCGGACGAGTCTGTTTGCTTGTTTGCACCGCCCCCTGTATCATCCTTATCTTCTTTTTCTTCGCCCTGTTCTAGCTGACTCTGCCTCCCTACTGTTTGGTGTACTGCATCTGAAAGGCCAAAGGGGAATGTCTTCAGAGTTGCGGCTATTGCACGATGTATGTAAGCTTCGCGCTGCGGTACTTTGGCAAGGAACGTCACGAGCTGCTTCAGAGTCTGGATGCAGCTCTTCAGAGGCAGACGCGTGCAGCACTGTGCCAGACATGCCACTCCCTGGTCAGCCATCTGTTGACTGAACGCCTCCTGGCGGCCTCTGGACTGTCGGGACGAAGCCTTGGTCGCTTTTTGTTTCTCTGGTACCTCCCTTGACACGTTTTCTTGAAGAATTGCCCACAGCGCTAAGGGCACGCAAAAGTGCCTCACTGTGTTCATGCACAGCTTCTGCGCCGCCACCGCCCTGCCAAGAAGCTGTAAGCCCCTCGCTCTTCTGTGTTTCTGCATGTGCAGCAGCTCAAGCAAAACGTCTCCCCCGCCTTCGCGTTCAGAGGCCTGCTGCTCCCCGGCCAGCGCCTCCAGCTGCGCAGCTCTGGCAGCGGCGGCGGCTGCACGCCAGGGTTTTCCGCTGGCAACCAACTCTTGCGCAAGCGAAGCAGCTTCTTGAATTGCAGGTGTTACCTGGGTTGCTGTTAGCAGCGGATACAAGTCCAAATGCAGCCGCATGAACCTCTGGTGCTGATCTGCATCGGACAAAAACAAGCCGGAAACAGAGTCCTCCCCATCGGTTGTAGTGGCTCCATGCGGTGGCAGTAGAGGCCCTGCTGGCCCTAGCGTCCGCACAAGTGAGTCCAGTGCCCTCAGGGCCATCCGCTGACAGTCCTCTTTCATGCTGCGCATCAGTCGGTGAAGGTGAGGAAAGATTGCCTTCATAATGAGTCGTTGCATAGCAACAGCAAAGCCCCAATCGGACTCCACTGCTTCCTCAGAAGGCAGTTTCATCCCCTGTTCATCCGCAAACTGAACTGCCGTCCTCAGAGTCGCTGCTGCCGAAGCCGCCGCCCCAAGAGACATAGCTGCCTTTCGGATGACTGTCAGAGCGACATGCTGCAGCGTCAGGTCGTCAGAGCAATCGGAGAGAAGATACAGGACGTGCTGCACAATAGGCTCAAACGCAGATGCAGGAATGTTGCTCAGAGGAGGAGCAGAAGTTTCCGCAGGTGTTGTGGCTTGCAAAGGCGTCTCCTCCTCTCCAACACTCTCCTGTGCGCACTGAACCCCCGCTACTCCTAATTTATCGTGCGGTTCTCCCCTCATCTCCGTTGCCGTTTCTCCATCTTCCTTTTTGTCATCGGCTGTCAGCAGTTCATGCTGGACCTGTGTGTTGTCCGCTTGTTCATTAAACTCGCACTGAGCTATTCGTGCTAGTGCAGGAGGACGGAGGTGGTTCTCAACCACTGCCAGCAACACCAAAACCTGCATGTCCACGTCCGGCCGCTGCTCCTCCGGACCGCCACGGCTCCCTGCCTTCAGAAGGTTTGCGCAGACCATCACAAGAGCGACGCTAACGCGCCACGCGGCAGCAAGCTCACTGCGCCTGAGCAGAGTGGCTGACCCTTTGTCGTCTAGGACGGACGGCAATGCATCTTTTAGAAGGCTGTCGCAGAGCGCTCCACCAGGAATTATCCAGGAGATCGCACGTACCGTTTTTAAGTCACCTTCCCCTTCCTCCTCGGCTTGCCGGAAAGCATGCAACTCCCTCAATGCAAATCCTCGGATCTGTGTCGTGAGAACCTCTTCCGTCAGCACGCAGCCGCATGCAGCAAGTTCCGTCGCCAGCAGCACTTCGGATGCTGCTGCGCGGCACTGCAGATCTTCTGCGCACTCTAGTAAACTGCAGCATGTCTCGTAAAGCCCCCGAAGCAACCCGCGCAGCTCTACCATACCAATGCCTGGGTCAGCGCGAGAAGACAACGACTGCCTCCAGGAAGCCACGGAGGGCAGAAGCCCCTTTATAGCGGCGAGCGTCAATTGTTGTCGAGCTGCTGCGCCCCCAGATCGAATCCGTAGAGGCAAAGAAAGAAGAAGCAAGCGAATCAACTTTGCTGTCGTTGGAACTGTGTATTCCTCAGGAGAAGTTGTACTTCGAGACCATGATTGCACCATGAGGTCCTTGTCCGCGCAGGCATACGCAGCAAGGCGGGTAAGAAGTTGCAGCTCCTTTAAGCCCACAAGGAGTAATTTCTCCCTACGGTGCATAAACAGCTGCACCGGGTCCTCCATGTGTGGGGCGGCACTATCTTTAGAGGCAGAGGGTGGTTGGGTTGGTGACTGCCCTGCTTGCTGCGGGCGGCTAGCCGCGCCTCTCCTTGCGTTGAGCAACAACTCCATGCAGTGCAGCAAAGTGTTTAAGTGTGGGAGAAGCACTTGTAGACCCCGCTGTTGCTGCAGCTCTTGCTGCCTCTGCAAGGCTTCATATGTCTCCCGAAATGTCTTCAAAGAGCTCGCCTTGTCAGTTTCCACGAAGCCATCCTTCTCCTGCAGATCTTCGTCACTCTCCTCCGACGAAGAGGAATAGTAGCCCCTGCGCCGACGCCTCCTTTCGTTTACGTGCTTCATGGCATTGAATTCGCGCTGAGAAATCCGCAGTTCCTCTTCTAGCTGTTCCTTTGTGCGACCGCCAAAGCAGAGCAGCAGAGCCGTCTCAATTGCCACTTCCAGTAGAGGAGTTGTGCTCCGCTGGGTGCGCTGCAAGAACCGCAGCAGCGGCTCGGACCCTATTGCTCCAATAATAGAAGATAGGGCCTTCGGAAGCAGTTCCTCATACAACACAAAGTAGTCCTACAGAGTGCAAACACACAAACATAAGGCACAACGGAATATGCATCTCAAAATTAAAGGAAGAAACTACTGAAGTTGTTCATGCAACACACTGCTGGAAACTCCGCGGTCGAGCCCATCAACTCCAAACACTGCCCTTGACAAGGCATTTAAGAACTTATAGCATGTGCCCAGGCCTTCGTGCTACTGCCTGCCTTTGGATAGCCGCTAAGCCTGCGTGCCTATAGCGCCATCTACGCTTTGCATATTTGATTCGCTTCTGCCTTCGAGCAAGCTGAGTTGATACTAGTGTATTGTCTCACCGCATTAGACGCCCAAGAAGCAACGAACCGCACAACCGCAGGACATTTTCCACCTCCTTTGGCATTCCCCGAATACCCCGCTGCCCCCGTCTCGACTGCCGCTGAAAGCAGCAGCTGCAAAGCGGGTGCTGCTGGAGATAGCAGCACCTTCCAAGCCTCGACGAAGTCGGGAAAAGCGGCGAAGAGCTGGTGCAGCGAGTCTACCGCTATCCGAATGCAGTGCTTCTTGTGTCGTGCAGCGATGGCAGTCGCCGTTTCCGCTGTGCGCTCCATCGTGAGTTCGGAGGTGAATTCCGCATTCGGCGGGTCTCTCCCTGCTTGCTGATCTTCAGCGTCAGGTTTGTCTGCCTCGTCAGTTACCATTTCTTGCACTTCTTTGTAGACGGCATCGTCTCCCGGTGTCGCAGGAACGAGTTGCTGCAGAATCGCTCCAAAGACGAAAACCAAGAAGGGTGCCGCTGGCCTCAGTGTGTGCTGCTGCATTTGCACCAGATGCTGCAAAGACTTGAGCAGCCCGTGCAACTGCGTCGATGAGGACGGCCCGAGCAGCTGGTCCGACAGTGTCACATGCACTGGGGGTTCGGCCAAATCGTCGCGTTCGGAACCAACAACAGGTACAGCAGAATCAGCGCCAGCCAGCATCTGTGCTCTGAAGTGCTGCCAGCGAATGAAGGAAACCAGCGCACGCTCTTTGTCCATGCCCTCTAAAGGCGTGCCTCCCTGCAACACCCCTTCTCCTGACTTGTCGGCAGCAGAGACGTGTGGAGTGAGGCGCAGCAATCTCAATGCTAGCACGGCCAAAACCATCGGAATTTCCGTTTCTTCAAGACTGCCTAACAAGCCAAAGATTCTACGCCGATTCGCCAACACCACCCCAGGAGACCTTCCCCTAAACAGCACAATTCATACGGCACCTCACGACTGTAACTACTGTGTATGGAAGCTGCACAGAAGAGCACAGCCCCCACAAAAAGTACGGGCACCTCAAGCAACTGACAGCCAAGAAGCAACAGCAAGGCGAGAAACTAGCTCGTGCGCTATAGACGCCCGTCCTGGAATCGCATGGTAGCGCCGCGGCCAAATTCCGCCAGAAAAGTCCTCACATTTTGACTTGAGTCTTGCTGATGAGGAGGCGGACGATAAGAGGCAGCATAAAGGCTCGGTGCTCGGGCAGCAACACGACGTCCTGTTTAGACTCTGGGGAAGGATGGACGACTTGTCGTTCGGCCTCGTCCTTCCCCAAAACGAGCCGCAGGAGACCTGACGGCGCTCCCCCCTTGTCTTTGAGCGCCTCCTCCAGCACGGAAAAGTACGGCTTGACCACCTGCTGGAGCTCTCGACAAAGCATCAGCGTCTGCACAAAGGAAAGGAGATCGCAGCTACAGGTCTATCTATGAATCCGGATGCTGCAACAATACCGTGGCAAGAAGAAATGAGGTTATTGAGGCCAACCTGAAGGACAAGTGCCTGAAGCGACGCATCCCGCACGCCAATGAGGCGTTGCGTGCAAGCCTCTAAGAAGCTTTGCCAAAGATTCTCCAGTTCTTGACTCTGTGCATCTATCCCATTCTCTTCAGTAGGGTCTTCGCAAGGAAAGCCTAACAAACGCTGCCCCACCCCCGAAAAGCGCATTTCACCATGGGCCAAGATAGCTCGGAGCACATCCTGCGCACGAGGGATCAGACAAGCGGTGGCCAACAACGGCTTGCATTCAGTTTGGTGCTGACGCACGCCTCTCCCGCTGGCGCTGTTGCCGCCGATCGAGCCGTCCCGCCGAAGCCCGCCAGTTCCACATTCTTTACCCCTAGCAACAGCTCCTTCACTGTCCTCTATTTCCTTGCAGCTGTCAGGGGAACGCGTTAGCTGGATGGCAATACGCTGTCCATATATCAGCAAGAAGCGGAGAGCGTTTTGGGCAAAGTTGCGTCTCCAAGCCATTGCCCCTTGGACGGCGGAGGGTTGTTGTGGTTCTGTTGCCTCTGTTGCTCCATCTTCATAAACATCAGGCCGGGGTTGCCGCTGCCTATGTCTTGTGCGCAAAAAGGCGCTACTTCCCCAGCGAGCGCCGAAGCGCTGCAAGATCCGCAGAAGATGTGAGTGCTTCTGGAGGGGTGTTGTTTCTTCACTAACTACCTCATCTTCTCTAGCGCTTTTCCACACACTCAGAATGCAATCTTGACAATTGTTTGCAACTGAACCTGCTGCCTCATGACCATGCAAATTATGCAGAGGAGGGGTTTCTTGCTGCTGCTCTTGCTGCTGCTCTTGGCCCAGTTGGTCTAGCGCTCTGTGCGTCTCAGATACAACGAGCTTCCAAACAAAGGCCAGCGCGGCGTTCCGCTGTTCTTTGTCGGGAGGCAGCGTTTGCAGGGGCTTCTCCGTGAACTCAGGGCTGCCTGCGGAATTGTCAGTTGAGGTCGACCTAGGAGGAGTGAAGTCTTGGAAGGCTTCGACTACTGTCGTAACGGCATCCACCACTTCAGGCCACACAGTGGCAAACTTGACAGACAGCCCTGCGAGCAGCACGCGGTAGGCTAGCTGCAGCAGCAGCACAAGCCCACCGCATTCAGGGCCTGCTGCTGCTGCCCCCTTTCGTTGCTCTGCCCCAGCCAACATCTCCTGAAGAGCTCGCACCTCCTCAGCGCACGAGTGGAGCAGCTGTATTTTTGGGCGTTCCGTGTCCAAATCAACTTTGAGCTTCTCCAGGGATTCCAGCTTCTGCAGCAGGCTGCGCACAACTGCGTTTGCCGGCACCGCCGGAGTAATGAGAGACTGTTTGGGGCAGCTGTGACACGCAAAGGCGTCGCAACAGGCACAAGAGAAGAGTGATGCAGGTTCGCAGCTGCTGATAAACCGCAGAGACCACAAACGCAGATGAGCAGATCCCGACGATAGATTCGGAAGCAACGCCTTAACCGCCACTAGACACAACTCCCGCATGTGGTAGCGCTGCTGCAGCAGGCTCCCCTGAGATAGGCCGCAGGTGTTGAGCAGCCTCAATGCCAAGCAAAGGCTTTTGACAATAGCTGGGCTTGTTTGCAAGAGAGCCGTTGTTCCCTCAGCGTTCACGTTCCTCACTGGATCCGTGTAAGTCGAGGTAAAAGACGACGATAAAACGAAACTCAGCAGGCATCTAACCCATCTGCCTTCGGGCCCCAAGTCAGACGCAGCAGCTACACTCTCCGGCGCTTCCACTTCACCAGCACTGTCTGAGCTACTGCTGGAAAGAAGAAGGCGACGAATCCCTTCGAAGTCCGCAGGGGACGGGACTGTTCGGTATTCGGTGCAGGCAGTCCCAAAGCAGTCACAGCGCGAGATGCGACTGCTCTTGCCATTAGTTGCGGCCGTTGCACTGCATGCAGCAGCCGCCTCACTTAGGCGCTCTGCACAGAGTTGTGTCAACGATTCCGGAGGTTCCGGGCAGGCAGCTGTTCCTTCCCCTTCTTGACAAACGACAAGCCGAGGGAGGGAGAGGAAGGTAACAAAGACGCGACTGAAAAGAAGAAGAAGAGCACTGCGGAGGCCAGCGGCATGCTGCCCATGCTGGAGCGCATCAAGTATTTGACAAAGAAGTCTCTGTTGTTGCTGTTGTAGCTGCGTAGCGGCTCTACTTGCACCCGCCGTTAGTTCAAGTGGACCCGTAGGTATTCCTGTCTGTCCGCCAACGTCGTTTTCGTAGGCAAGGGCCTTCCGCAGCTCCCACAACCACCTCAGGCCCACAAATGCACTTGCGAAACACACCTCCAGCTCATCCGAAGAACCAGCCTCAGTATCCCCTCCTTCAGTATCCCGGCTGTTGACAATGTGGTCTCTCAAAGACGTTTCAAGGCGGTGCAACTCGCCACAGGTTCCCCTCAGGCAGGTCTCCATGTGAAGGGGCAGCAGGAGCCGAATCGTTGCCCATGTTGAGCCAGTTCCCCTAGCCTTCCCCTTTCTGCCGTAGGTTTTCAAAATATCCGCCAGCAAAGAACTAGCTGTTGCCCACCTCCACGAAGTTATATCTCCCAACAGAAAGTCCTGCTGGACTTGTTGTTGCCCTGAAGAGAGACGGTGGTCTGCTTCGCACACAGCCTTGAGTTGCTGATCTAGTTCATCACTCATGGCCGCATGTTGGCCTGCAAGGAATTCAACCGCGTAGCGAAGACAGAGAGACGAAAACCCATCCACCGGTGCAGGCACAAGGAGAAGCATTCGCAAACTGCAGAGAAACACCTCCAACACCCGTTCAAGCACGACACCCTGCCACCACGCCCTGTCCACCGGTTGCAGCTGCTTCTCCTGGCTCAGCTGCAACTGCTGCAGCTGATACCGCTGCACACTTAACAACGCTGGCAGCAAATGTTGGAAGGGGCTGCCCGTCAACGGCACTGCCTTTGTGTAGCTAACAGACAGCGCTCTCCACGCAAAAACAATAACCCGAAGGAGACTGCAAGGCAGCAGCACAGTAACTGCCGCAGATGCCACGCAGTCTGAACTTGAGGTAAAACTCCAGAGCAGCGGCTGTATCAGTGGCGGAACCACCGGTGGCCGATGCTGGGCCTCTTCATCTGAAGGGGCAGCTCCCTTGATGGCATCGGAGGCCCCAGATGCAGACACACAGAAGGGCTGTAGCACCTCTAGTAGCTTCTGAATGTAAGCATCAAAGCTCCCTGTGTTCCGTGGAGTACATGCGAACCACGATGCAGCTGCGTCCGCTAGGGTGCAGCACCCCACCAGTACAGGGGGAGGGAGGCAGCAGCGGCTACAAGGCGCCTCTGCTGTCGAACGACAAGGCAAACGCACGCTCCCGCCTTGGAAGTACGGGAATGACGTTAGTTGGAGAAAGGGATGGAGGGAGAAAAACGGGGAAAATGAGGACGTAAACAAGCAGAGCATCTCCTCTGCACCCATCTCGCGTCTTTGTTCCACAGAAGCCATCTGCTGCCTCTCCTCGACCTGTGACTGTCCAGCAAGAGCAGAACGTACTGCAGCACCAAGGAGCCTGAGGGTTACACGCTGCAATGCCAGCGCTGCAGGGCTTTCCGTAGAGGCTGCGTGTCGTCTCGCGTCGTCTAGGTACATGCGCACGCATTCAGCATGAGCCAGATACACTTGCCTTCCGCAGACCCTGCTACTGGCTTGACTTATGCCGCAGCAGCTGCTGCTGTTGTTGTTGCTGCTGCTGGCTGTGGCATCATCAGATGGCTCGGCGCAATCGTTCAGCTCAAGCGGAGGAGGCTCGTATGTTGCGCCGGAACCTGGAAGGGTGAATTGCTGCCGCAGCAGGACATTGGCAACGAGAAAACAAGAAACCCCTTCAAAGGAATTCGTAAAGGCACACTCCAACCCCCGAATGCTTTCGAAGAAGATGCGAGACGCGCAGGCAGCAAAGGCAGGAAGCCAGGGGGAGGGAACTCTGAAAGCGCACAGCATCACAGCAGAAGCCGTGATGAACTAGACGGGCAGCGCAAGCTGAATGATGGCAGCGTATGACACATAGACAAAAACTGTCTAGAGTGCCTGACGCAAACTGGACAGACCCCAGCTCCAGTCAAAGTACAACTGTAAACAACCATCATGATACACATCAGTCAGGCATTTCACGAAACGCAGCTGACTGGCTAGGTCCTCCGCCAGCTAGCTAGCTATCAAGCTACTGCGGCAAGCAATCGCGCTTCTTATGAATGTCATGGACCAGCACCAATGTAGGACCTACACAAGGAAATACTCTGTAATGGACGAAATACAGTCATAGAAAACTTCCTCCTCGCGTGCAGCCCTTCGTAGCACCGTTGCAACTGCCTGGGCAGCCATCAGCGCGCTTCCGGAGACCTTAACTTCAGCTGTATCTTTTCTCTGTTTTTGCGGGTTAGAACGCGGACGCCGCTGAGCTGGTCGTTGAACGGGCTCATCCCTCTGCACTTTGCACATCTTGCGCTTCGGTGGTGGCTGCTGCTCCGCCTGATGCTCCTGCTGGCCTGTTGGCAGATCGATGGCGATCGGATCTTCAGGTGCCTGATGTTCCATCTCCTCGGCAACCGGCCGCTTGCGCTTCTGTGAAGCCCCCGGAGGCGCACTGTGCAGCAGCAGTGGCAGCATGATGTCTAGGAAGTCCTCCATGTTGAGCACGAGGTACTTTTGGAGGTATCTGAGAGCAGCTCACCGAGAGCAACACACAACAGCGCGGCACGAATACACACAGTCTCATGAAGGCAGCGCTTCTTAAGTCTCGTCCTTTTCGTCTCGCCTTGAACAATCGCACAAGGTAAGAACGAGATAGCAACAGCCCCAGTATCATGAACTGTCGTGCGTAAATTGATATTCAAGCCTTAGATACTCCGCCCTCTCCGCAAGGTCCAATTTCCCCCTGTTCCCTAGACAGCATTTGCTTCAAAAGAACAATCACTCGGTGTGTCTGCCATCTGTATTATGTATTTATGTGCACATGCAGTGGTCATAAGTCTTTTGTAGCACCACGGAAGAGTTTCATTCTTTATGTATGTACACCGAAAGACGTTGTGCATTCCTCTTCACACACCTGAAAATTTGCGAGAGGCAATGAAAAAGCTTCTGGACGCCGTCAGCGTCGTGCCTGCCCTCCAAGTCGAAAAGGAGAAGATGCAGCGCTCCAATGCAGCTCTGGAGGTACCCCAAGAATTCTTGACGCAGGTCCTGAGGCGCAAATATAACAGCAGAAAATAGGGGAACAGAGAGGCATAACCACCGAGATACAGACAGTTCAAGCACAGACACTGAATGTGACTGACAAGGGAAAAATTTGGAGGGGAGTGTGTAATGTTACCTTGGCAAGAGCGGGTAGCAGTTGCAGCACAACGCCGTAGGTGTCCTCCCTTCGAAGGTGCTCCAACAGCAGCTGCAAGACTTCTTCTCGTTGCAGCAACAACAGTGGTAGAGACGACGCGTAGCCGCTGAGGTGTACCAACAGCTGCCGCGCAGGACCTCGAGCCTCAACTCCCTGCAAGATGTGGCCTACTAGGCGTGCAAAGTCGCTCGCCTCCGTCTCTGCACAGAAGCATATGGGCACCGACAACTCTTTCCTTTTGTTTCGAATACTCAAGGTCAGATGCTCTGAATTCCTACGCCTGGTTGAAGGCCACGCTCCTGTGCTGTGCGTTGACAAAGGTAATTAACACCCTCGCCGCATCAGTTTCGTTGAAAGCGCCACGAGGCCTATAAGCTGAAAGGCAATGGGACAATTGTAAAGAAAAGATGAACTAAAAGCAGTAGCAGCCTACCAATTCGTTTACGCGACTGTTCTGCCTCTTGATCATCTGTCTCCTCCTTTAGTCGTTTCCAGGGTCGCCGTTCTGCCTTGGTGTAAATCTCCATGACGTCGAGGGCTGACAGGTGTCTGGACCCTGGTTGCCCCCGCTGCAACTGCCGCTGCATCTGCTGCCGAAACGTCTGGAACACATACTTCCCGGTTGCTTCGTCTCGAACTTTACTACCACCTCCGCTGCGGGCGTTAGCAGACGACACAAATGGATGCCCCGGCGGGTCACTAGGATCCCTGGGGCTCTTGCCCGCTCTAGAAGATGCAGCATCTTCCGGGGAAGGCGAATTAATAGGAGGGGCCCCCGCCACATTGGCAACTTCGCGCACACTCTGCGGGGGCCCCTCAGGGCGCCGCCTCGAGGAATCCGAGGAACTCGAGGCCCCCATATCCCTGTGGTCGCTGTTATCAGGGGCCCATGCAAAGAAATATATAACTTGGATGGTAAAGGAGGGGGCTCAAGAGAGCAGACAGTGGAGCAGAAGATCTCAATCCAGCCGGCTCGGTTTGTCTCGGGGGGCCCCACGGACTGCACTCAGGCTATGGCATATAGAAGGCAGGTGGGCCTTCCTTAGGCGTCCTTAAAGGACGAAAATGTATCCAAATGACCTTCATGTGAATAATGGACAAGGGAGTTGCGAGAAAAACTGTAGAAGTGAAAACCCGATGGATCTACAGTGCCTCCACACTGACCTTCTGTGGGGCGGCGCTCCTGGAACGGCTCCGCGGAAAGATTTACTATCTAGAGTACAGTTAGTGGTTTATATCTATTAATTTGAATTATACTATACTATACGAATTCCGGGTAAAATGCAACCCCAGTGCGGAAGCTTTCGCCTGCTTCACGCTGGCTCCGGTCTCTCCGTCCACGGAAAACGTGCCTTCGCAGGTCCCAGTGTTTTTAGCGTTTAAACGTATAATCTAAAATGTAAATATTGCTCCTGTTTCTCTAACATATACACAAATTTCCGTTTGCTAGTAATTAGCATGTACTTGCGAGTACTTTTTCAACTCTGCGTTGCTGTGCCACACCGGTGTTTCCACGACCGAATGGGACACACTGCCGAAAGGCTGAAATTTCCGCTGTAAACACTCTAATATAGGCCTTCTATGTGTTACCCCCCCTCCAGCCTCGCAAGTTTGAAGTTTGGTGCTGTGTTTGTCTCCGCTCGAGTAAGGGAAAGTCGGCAGGAAGCCATTGGGCTGACCGTGCTCTTCGTGAGTTCGACTCGTTCCGAATTGTTAACTAACTAAATCCATCAGGCTCCAAAGTAGCCTGGAAGAATGCATGTGGCTTCCCGTTAGTGGGTGTACTCCATTTCTATAGACATCAACCGTATGTCCTGTTAATTGGCGCTGTTTCTTGCACTACTGCATGGAACTGCAACGTTGCCGTGCGCGGTGACGCTGCATAATGCCGTTCCACGAAGTGGCAAGTACTCCATTATTTCTCGTCACATCCTATGAATGACGAGGGGTACGAATGTGGGGCTTCGAAGTAGCTGCTGCCTCTGCTTATCTTCACGTGCGCTTCATTTTTCTTTTCCACTAATATTACTTTCAGTGCTTGTGCTGTTTACGTGCACGATGAGGAAGCCCACTTGTAGCGCAACCTTCAACTATCTGCACGCATATTATTAATGTGCCTCCAGATGATAAAAGTTTCGTGAAACCTGAGCCTCCCCTTCTCCACATCGCTGAGGTGCAGACACGTTGAGATATAACAGACACCCTAACCACAAGTTCCTTCAGCCGCTTCACGCTAACCCACCTTTCAGCGAACACAGCCTGCACTGTCGAGTTCGATTGTTGATTGCGTGCTTCTGTGGAATATTGCATAGTATTCAGAGATAGACAGCCTCTCGCGCCGAATGTTTTTGCATTTCGGAAAAGCTTCCTGGAATAGTCCCCGTGTGCGCCTTGAATCTATTTGTATAATTCTGAATAGAAAATTTTATAGCCTGCCGCCAATCCAGATGGTTCCAAAGCCTCGTGCTATGACTGCTTGCCTCAAAAAGTTGGCTGTGAACCTGAAGGGCAAGCCAGTGTCAACATTTTTGACTGCGCTGTACTCCTGCAGCTTAACACACTTCACGCAGTACTTGTTACTTTTCGTTGCTGATGCTGGCGGCCATAAAAATTGACGACAATGCAGCAGAATCCCTGGGGAAATTTTCCACTGCATTTCAAAGGAAAATATTTCCGCACTCCACCTTTCTTGCGGTTACACTTTATGGGACATGCGCTCGTCATCTACACCATATGTTACCCCATTTTTTAGTTCACTGTCACATAAGCGTGGCCATTGACACATAAGCGTGGCCATTAGCGCAGTGATACCTCTGCCGTCGTGCACCGGCAATCCCTGCTCACTTTTATTCAATAAATAAGCTGCAAAACTTCACCAGTTGGGACTCTGTGGCGCTGATGTAACTGCGACTTAACATCCCTATGGCATCAGGGATATACAGCTTTCACATCACGAACTTGCCTGTATTTGTTCGATGAGTATCTGCTGGATGTGGTGGAGTCCACTTTCTGGGGAATGGAATTGCCTGTTGCATGGCGAAAGTTCCAAGGATGCTTGTTTAGGTCTTCTGCTTTACTGACAAACAAACTGGTGTTGCGCGACGGAGGCTTGACTGTGTAGGGCTTTGTAGGCAGAGATCCGGAAGTCAGGTGTCGTTTATCACCAGAGCGAGCGTTGGGGCTACCTATTGACGGGCTCTTCAGCTGCCCATCTCTCGGTCCTTGAAATTTTTGTCTCTTTACAAAGTTTTTTACCTTGTACGCCGACTGCCATCGTGGATTCCATGTCTTAGACAGCCAACGAGGCCATTCCGCCTTTAGCGGACCAACAACCTCAGCAGGTACAGCGGCGTGTGTGCACTGATGGGTGGCACAGACAAGACGTAGGAGGCACATTTTGTGCTCCTTTTTCCTTTCAGTATTCAGTTTAACCGCAGGCCTCCCCCGTACTTTTTTTTCAGCGCGAGTGGTTGAGGAATATCGCCGCTGCTTGCGCTGCTTGCGGAATGTCGAAGACGGCGAACAAACGTAAAGGGGAATAAGGGCAATAATTGGCGTCTCAGGTGTACGTTCAATAAGGCGGGCTTTATCCCGTAACTGTAATCGGTTCAATTTTTTCGGTGAGACCAGAAAGCTGCAAAAGGGTCACTTGCAGGTGACCCCGACGAACCCCACATTGACCAGTCCATAGGTTCACACAGCAGCGCTCATTAATAATTGTAGAATACAGTACGAGCAAAATGTCCAATCAAATGGTAATGCATCTCTAAGAAGCCTCACGATTTGTTCGTGTTGCTGACGCAGAACTACAGGATGGCGCCTCTACTGCACCGAAAGGTTTGCTCTGAAGGTCGGTCCATCTTTCACCACCTTTTGAGCACCTTCTGCACGGCTCGCTCTCTCTGGAGAGTGTGATTAATCACCTGCATGCGTTCGTGTTCATGCGGTCTGCGGTCTTCTTTAGGTCGACAAGGGGCAGTCTGCAAACCCTGCAGCGCACGGGCCTCAGAAGGTGGCTGTGCAGTTGGGCCGCCGCTTCCGCAGTACAGATTACAAGGCTCCAGATCCATGAACAAAGTTGGAAGCACAGAGTCTGTATTGCCTGAACCTTTTCACACTGATTCAGAGGAAGTCGAATGTTTACCCCCTGTCAGGTTTCTAGACCCTACGGAATGCTTGTGGAATGCCTTTCAGCGGCTGGGAAACCTGCAAATAGTCAATTGCATTTCCGTCGTTTCCTCCCATCCTATAGAGTTGGACACTCTCAGGGAAGCAGCTGTACTTGTGGCTAAGAGAAACCAGGCCCTCCGACTGGTAATAAGGCTGTCGGACGCTCAGGTAACCACTAGACATCGCGCACAGCAGCTGCAGATGCAGCAAAAGCAGGTGCTTGCCAAGGATAGCCAGCACAGACAACAGCTGCATTCAAGCATCGACAACTTGCTTGGAGAAGATTCTGAGGCCTGTAGTAGCAATAGCCCCTCCCCTTCGTCCTCTTGGAGTTTTTGTGCCGCTGCAAAGCGCAGCAACAGCAACGCCTCCAGCAGGCCACTCAGCAATAATGACAGGCGCTCTGCATGGGGGTGGAGGGCCCGTCGCAGTGCAAGCGATTTCAGCCCACATGAATCCAGCAGTGAAATGGGGAAAAGTGTAAGCGCACGCATTCGCAGCAGCAGCCGCAGCACCTCCAACACCAACAGGGGATGCAACAGGTATGGGGAGCGCAAGGAAAGGGGCGTGCTTGGGTTCCCTCTTCCATGCAGCTGTAGAAAGCGGCCTCACCTCAAGTTCACTTTTCACGAACGGCTTGGAGAGCCTGTGGTTGACGTCAACTACGCCACTGTCATGGAATCTCTCACCTCCTCCGGCTTCACATGGCAACAGCAGAACGGCCAAAGGCTGCAGTTTGATTTAAAGCTTATAGAGGAATGCAACTGGATGAAAGCTATGGCATGGGAGCAGAAGCATCCTCTGAATTGTGAAGAAGGTGAGAAAGTGCAACACATGACTGTACATGCACATTTGGGGAACTGCTTGCAAGTGGAACCTCTATTCGCTTGCCATTTGCTGTCGCTTCCATGACACTGCAAGAAGCGATATCCTCAATACGCCTGCGGCTAACCTATTTTGTACCCTCTAGTGTGCAAACTGAGATATCCATGTCTTGCACTGCTTCTGAAAAGCCTCAAGGTTTTACCATGTGGCCTTGCTTCTCTCTGCACACTTTGTCTGCGTTGCAGGCCCTTTGTGGCGGTTGCGTATGATGCCTTCCGAAGAGGATGTGTCTGTTGCTGATGAAAGCAGCCAGCTGTTCCCTGGTGTCGCGCAAGTGTGCAGGACCGAGGGAACCCCCACATTTCCGGTTGATTTCCCCAGCCGACTTCAAGACAAGAAAAGCTCCGTTCCCAGCAGCAACACCAGCAGCAAGGGAAAGCGCTTCCGAACTCACATAATTGGAGTGTTCCATCACTCGGCTATCGATGGAATAAGCAGGAAAGAATTTTGGGATGAGCTCTTGAGAGCTGTCATTGCTCTCAGTAATGCAAAGGTCTACGCCGAGTATGCTTCACGGGTCAAGGCACTTACAGCAGCGACTGCAGTTGCGTCTCAACCCTTACCAAATTATCGTCAGCAGAAACTCAACCTGGAACCACAACGGCCAGCACTCACGCCAGCTGCCTCGGCTTCCAGCGTAGCTACGCAGACACCTCTGGCTAGCCCAAGTTATCGCTGGCGGAGAGGCAGCAGCAACAGCAGCACATCTACAACATCCCCTGGCACACTCTATTTTCGCCGCAGCAGCGCAGGAAACACCAGCTATAGAGCACTGGCCTTGAGCGAAACGGATTCCTATGGACCTTATGATTCGCCATCGGCAAACACGTGGTGTTATATCCGGCGGCTGTCTGCAGGTTCTGCCGGATCCGGAACCAGCTCGACAGTTTACACGGCAAACGAGACGCCGGAAAGTGCACAAATCCAAATGAAAAGTCTTCCGTGCCCTCCCACGACAGTTCTTCCGCCTGCGTTGAATGAGCTGTTCCCAGTTACACCATGTGTCTCCGTGCTCAGGCCGTTGATGTGCCCGGGTCACAATCTCCATATAAAGCTGTATCTCCTGGAGAGGGAATTGTTGAAGGCTCTGAGAAATCCATTCGCATGCTACTACCCGCCAAAGCGCTTCAAAGCATGCGGATCCGAGTATCAAGCTTACAAAGAGGCGAGCAAAGCAATTTGTTCCGCCAACGTTTCTCCTGACCATGGAGTGTACACAAATCCAGTCGAATGCCCTCCGCAAGACAAGCAGAAGCAAATATTTACAGGTGCTAGACCTATTCTAGATAAAGGCAAGCCACAAGAGGAACCAGCCTTTACCGGCTTGGTGACGCTCCGACTGTCGGAGGCTCTTACGGCAGGGCTGATTGCAGCGTGTAGGGTAAAAAAGATGACGATGAATGGGCTCGTTACAACTGCGGCGGCCGTCGCTCTTTCTCGCATGCTCTGGCGGAGAAACCAAGTAATGCAGCAGCACAGCGTCCTTGCTGATCTCTCCCGTGTTGTTGCTGCTCCCACTTCTGAGCACCATTGCTGGCCTCTTCGGCACCATTCGCTATGGTCCTGTGTCCACCAGCAGCAAATGGAGCACACTCTAAAGGCAGAGGGCGGGGAGACACCACATGAAGTGTCTAATTTTCGCAGTAACGAACAGGTCAACCTGGACACGACCTTGAATTCTACTTGCGCCAGCTCCGAGCAGGGCTCAGCAAAGGCAGCAATTTCTGGTAGCACACATTCTCCAAACAGCTGTGAAACCTGCTCAAGTTTCCCCAGCAAGGTATCTGAGACCAGTCCTCACTATTCTTCGGATCCTTTCGGGCACCAGAGTGCTTTCCCGCTTGTCAACGAAGAGATTCATCGCTGCGCTTCACTTGTGGAGCCTCTGAAAATAATGCAAGATGGACCTACGGACAAGGCTAACGAAGGGACGAACGACCGCATACAGCGGGATGCTGCGTGCAAGAAGAAAGGTGCGGGGAACTTCCGTTGTGGGTGGTCACTTTCTCACATTGCGGAAATGCTGCAGCAGCTGACGCTACGTTCTCCTGTATCTGGAGAGGGTGTCCCCGGCATGCCCAGCAGACAATTTGCACGGCACAAAGGCCCCGTGTACATATATACGCTGCAGGCTATTAGCGGCAGACGGTGGTTAGACAAGCGGATACAGGAGAAGCTGCAGAAGTCGACGGTACCAACGATTGGCCGAAAAATGATTCCCAGTGATGGGAATCAATTTGACGAATTTTTATTGCAGTATTTTGTGGTCAGCATGAGAAGTCACAAGTGCTCGCGGACTCTTGCTGCAATGGTAGCGGCTTCAGTTGCCCTTAGTGCTTCTGGAAGGTCCCCTTCTCCTATATTTCATAAGCCACCGGCTATATACTCATCCGCGTGCCTGCGGAGGAATCGAAATGGAACCAGTTGCAGCAGAAGCAGCAGTGGCAGCAGGAGTGCGCGTTCCTCACAATGTCTCCAGCAGTGCCCATACGAACTCGATGGTGATTGTCACAATGAAAGCAATGCAATATCCAGCAGACATGAACGGCAGCAACGTCTTAACTCTGGAGCTGATGCAAAACCTGCCGAGTCCATGCACATACGTAAGAAGTATAGGATTCCAGGAGAACCAGAAGAATCTCCAGTAGACTTCAACAACGACAAAGATCTCTGCCTTAATGACACCAAGGGCTTTGTAGAAACAACAGGACAAAGTTCCCTATCAACATCCAGCAGTTTGCATTGCACGTTTACTAGCACTCTGAGTGCAGAATCTCTAGAGGACCGTGCAGAGAAGGCATCCGTAGATGGCTCAAGAACCAGTGCGAGCAGCACGAGCTGTTCCAGGCGGTTGCATTCCCACACGCGTACTGTCAGCAGTCGCATCTCGCGTGGGTTGCGGATGATAACACAGTGGCTTTGGGGAACTCGTAAATCCAGCAGCAACAGTGAGAATGGCGAAAAACAGCAGCAAGGTATGGAGCAGCTCCCTCCCTTTGGACTCGGCTCCTATGCGTTGTTGATGCCGCTAAAGCTCCGAGTTCCTACGGAATGCAACAACGAGCCTGACGCAATATGGGCTCTTGGCAAAGCATGCACGGAGACTGTGCATCGATTCGTGTCCTTACCTAACCCGTCATTAGCTACCTTCGATTTTCAGCTCATTTCCTCTTTTGCCGAAGAGATACAGGGCCAGCTGAAGTGCTTACACCCCGTCAGGGACGATTCTTTCGCGAGGCCTTCGGCATTTCTCATCTCAAATGGAGGAGTTTGGGCTGCTAGTTCCCTCAGCACCTTTGCAGAAAAAATCCATGAACAACTTCGAGCTGTGCCGGAAAGGCACCGAAGCCTGCTGCAGCGCGTGCTGCAGCACCAGACGTTTTTGCAGCAAAGAGCCTCCAAGAAACCGACTTTGCCACCCCTGCCTTCGCAGCACCCAGGCGGACCAGGAGCAGCAGATGCAGGTCTTAGGTCTAAATGCCAGTGTGGAGGCAAAAACCCAGTCCGTAACAACAAGTGTTCTGTTAGAAGCAGTGGGCAACAGGCAACATCACCAGTTCTCGCTGCAGCAGCTCTTCCCGCTAGCAGCACCCTCGTTGCCGCTGCAGATGTCAGGATACCTGCCGATCTCATGCACTCCGGAGAGCAACAGCAGGATGTATGCCATCAGCAGCAGATGGGAAAAGAGTGCCTAAGCGGATTAGAGTGTTTGCTGTGGGATTTGGAGGGGTTGATGGACTCCCTGCAGCCCTTTGAGCTCTCTGTTGACTCTAGCTGGTCAATTGTGTGTCAACACAGAACTGGACTAAACTATTTCGCACATAACTGCGTCACAATCAACGGAAGGATGAACTGGTCCCTGCAGTACCACTCCAATCTCACGTCACGGGAGATAGCTGCGCTGTATGCCGCTTATATTCTGGAGGTACTTCAGGAAGCACATGATCTGCATGTTAAAGAAGAGGCACTGCATCGAGCACGGCAAATTGATGGGACCTAATATTTCAGTACCGGGGCCGAATATAGATCAACAACAGCAAAACAGTCAGCAGCGGGGCGGTAGTGCGTTCCCTACTGCCATTGTCTCCGTGATGATGAACTTTTTGCATTTTTACTATCTTCTTTCTCACTGAAAACTTTGGGGCCTTGATACAGCTCCACCTGGAATTTTTGGGGTGTGATACAACATACACTACGTCCAGCAGCGGGTTCAGTCCTCGTAAAAAGTAATAGTATAGAATGAAAGCAATGTAGCACTTGTGCGATCAGAGGACAATACAGCAGAAAAGGTCAGCCCCTAGGGTGAAATAGTCCCAACTTGAGTAGAAACGGCGGCTTAGACTTTTCAGAACTGTGCATACGCTGGCGAGCATTCCCTGCCGTCATTGTTCTCCTAGGATTTGGGATTTAGACTGCTTCCAGCCAGTCCTTTCCTGATGAATAATCAAGCAGGAGTGCATCTCTATACCTGAAAATTTCTCTGCAACGGTCATTTAAGATCCGGTTGTAGGGCTACCAAGAGAGGTAGCTGATGCTACTTCGCTGATAATTTCGAAGAGGCGAGCGACCCACAAAACATAAGTTCAGAAGCGAGGGAGGCGACGCAGGGGCCTTGCAAGGGAGAACAAATCAAGTTTCTATAAGGATAAACTTATTAGTTAATGGCAGCCATAGAAGGGGGACTTAAGCAAATTGCAATGAAATGAGAAAAAAGCGTCGGCGAATGAATTCGGCCGCAAGTGTTACGGTGGGGGATCGGGAAAAGGATGGATACGATAATGCCTCCCTCCACATCAGTCGTTGCTCCGTGGGGCCAAAAGCTTATTTTACTGCGGTTTTGCTACCGGAAATACCATCAAGAGAAATCGCATATGAGAACCTCACAGTGAAAAATGAAGTTCTCAGCTGCGCAGAGTACGTAAACGACATGCATTGAAGTATGCCCATAAGTGGTAGACACAAAGTCCGACTGACGGAAGTAATCAACCAACAATTCTGTGGAAAGGTTCCAGTTTACTACTTGTGGGTTTTGGTGATCGCCAGTTTTGCTGCTGTCGCAACGCAACTGGCTTCACCCGTAGGACGGACTAAATGTGTCCGCCAAAGGCGCCTTACTACAAATGTGCAGACTGTCACCACGCAGGCATCAAATGCATAGGGATTAATTTATTCTCTGAGGGGAAAACTTATTGCACAAAACCTTTTTCAGAGACGTACATTTGTTGCAGGTGCTGAGCACGCATGTGCCGGGACCTGCTGAGCTCGCCGCTTTCTCACAGTAGCCAAACAGTTGGCATTGGATTCGCCTAAGTTAGCTTGGCGTGGTTCTTCATAGGCTTGTCACAAGTAAGCCAATAGCTAAATATAAGGTAAACGCGAAGTGGCAGCGAGCTTGGCTGTAGTGCACTACACCACCGACCCGGGCGTTACATGGGCGGCTGGAATGTGCGCAGCAGTTGACAATAGAGCCTGAGCAAGTAAGAAGTGAGATTTCCGCCAAAATTTCTCTACCAAATGCATGGTTCTGTAACTGCCCGATTCAGAAAATTTAAGTCTATCGAACCGGGTCTACCGAAATTACCTACCTCGTCCGTTCTCGCGTCGCTGGCAAAACAATCCCCTCACAATTAAAAAAAAGATGCAGAACATCCTAGGAAGTAGAGGAAATATCCAACAATTGCTTAATTAGGGGTATGGATGTGCAGTATTATTAAAGTAGACGGTTCCGCCCTTTTGGCATCCCGCCCCACAGTGACCGTTGCAACTGCCGCGGTCACCGCCTGCCACGATATGAAGCAGTCCCACAATCCCGTTTTCGAGATGTGTATGGTGCACCATGCAAAGCGTTAATATTAACAAAAGTTGTTCAACATTTTATACAAATTGTGGATGAATTTGAGGCAGGATTAATGTTGAATTTCGCCTCAGTTTGCGGTGCGGCGAACCGCTGGTGGGCCCGTTTCCCCTATCTTGTCTTCTGCTTCACACGAAAAACAAAATTTTCCCTGGAAGAGGTCGAAACTGCCATGATTTGGGGCCCAAGGTGAAGGCCAATGCTCTGTACCAATTCCCTAGCCGTAGGTACTGTATTATTCTTGCTTGAAATCGAACCAGCAGGCAACGTGTGAACCAATGGTTTCCTTGAACCCCATTCTCGAGCGCGAAAGCGTATTAGAACAATAATATTATCACCCCCCGTCTCCTAACAAGTGAAAAGTGATGGGTCGCTATAACAAGGAGACCATGAGCTTGGCGCAGCACGCAATCTTCGCAGCCCTGGTGGCACTCTGGCTGGTTTGGCCGCCCGTCTTGGCCAAGCAACATTCAAAGGGCAAAAATGCCAGCCTACCGTCGAGGCCATGTCCAGAGCCATATGTGATGGATGCAACAGGTGTAAGCAGGCGTACACCGTTGCAATCATCCCCGTCCTATATTTTTTTTTTCTGCACGCACACGCGCTAATTCTTCAATGTAATGCGTAGTGTGACCAAGCATGAGCTTCCCCTTCGGCTTTTCTGTAGCTTTATTGTGTGTATGCTTCCCATGTGAAGTGCCTTAACTGCAGAAACGGTGCATCATGACACACGCAATGGAGCCGTTGATGGTTTGCCCCAATGGTGTACTTCGTGACGGACTGTGCTTGATTTTGGCGCTTCCCGATGCAACGTACTGTCCAGGAGGATTCACAGAATATCGTGTTGACGGTGTGAAGGAATGTGTCGCTACAAGAGCAGCTCGTATGAGCATGGTTTGCTGGGGCCCGCATGAGAAGCTGGAAGGCGATCTGTGCATTGAGGTATGCCCAGTTTTGGCGTCCAAGAGCAAGCTGTAATATTTACAACGGTTGTTTAACTTTTTATACAGCATCATAGAATTGGGTATTCAAATGTAAGTCTAATACTAACATTAGCAATCCACCAGCAAGAATTTGGGAAGAATTCAAAGCAGGTTTGATGTTGAATCAACGTTTGAACGTTTGAACACTTACAAATACCACAAGGCAAGCTTTGAGAATGATCTGAGCTTCTCACACACTGCAGTACAGTGCACTGTTGTGGAGATATTGTGCTGTTTCCCTCCAGCGCAAAATTTCACCGCTGATAATGGAATGTTTACAAGGAAGCCTTAACCAAGACAATCTCTGCGAGCAGATTATTGTCAAGCCCCCCAAGCCCGTCTGCAGTCCAGGCTTCCACGAATCCGATGGTCTCTGCATACAACGGAGACAGACACCATGTGAAGAGGACGTTGACACGGAAGCGGCATCTTTCACTACGAAATCGAGTTTATCCGTCGGTACAAAGCAAGAAAAAGTCCCAAGATTTCACTCAAAGGTATCGACCAGCAACACACTTCTGCCTACCGACGGATGGGCCACGCATGAACTCGAAAAGAAATCAAGTCGGTGGGAAAGGCTACGTCAACATTTCGATTCCAGATTAGTCTTTCCTCATGAGGCAGCGGCCCCGCATCCGCGTGTAGCTGAACTCCCTATAGGAACCCAAGACAAGCGTTCTGATGCAGGAATTGAAACGGCGTTTGACTTTGGTATGGACCCATCACCTTTAGCTACCTCCTACGGAGACTCTGAAAACCACTCCTCACATCCAGGGATTACCGAAGGTTCCGCCGATGATCCTTCACAATATTTCTTTCCTAGAGCTTTTCGTCGGCGCAGATTAAGGATTATTGAACCTCGGGATGATTTGTACTTCCGATCTGCGCATGGCGGTTCCACCGACGATATGAGGCAGCCTAAATCGTCCGGGAATTCAGAAGCGGAGAGCTTTCCAGCAGAAATACAGTCTCAAGAAGAACAGGCAACATCCGGAAAAACATCCGCGAGGGCTTATTTTGGAATGCCACTCATAAACTCTGTGGGGCGCCCTTATGTTGGTCCCACCACCATTATGGACCCCATGAATCAGAAGCTGCTTCACCCGCTGGCCCTCCAAAGTGGCCTCGGAATGAAGCCTTCTAAGCTCCATACAGTTTGGCATGACAATCGCTTTGACAGCCAAATTGGAAGCCAGAGAGGACCGTTCGCTCGCCAACAATACAATACCGCTAACGCGCATGCGGGAAATTCCCGAGGGCCACGGCGTTTGCAGCAGCAGAGATCGGCCTTGCAAAAGTTGTCTTCCTCCCTAAGTAAGCGAAGTGCCAATGCATCTGCGACAGATGCCGTTGCTGCTCAGCGGTTGAACTCTACCGCAGCTCTACCTCAGGAAAGGACCACAGTGCTGGTGGAACATAATTTACGTGGCGACCCAAATGGCACGACAGTCAAAACTCTCACTGCGAACTTCGAAGGGGGGAAAGCCAAGTTACTGCACGACAGCCATAACTTATTGGCGAATAAGACCCAGCAGGACATCGTATTTGGCGCGAACCCTCCGACGGTGGCACGGACATTCAATGAAGCCCACGCACAGACAGGCAGAATGCTGCGAGGCCGACGCAATAGACGCCTTGAGGGACTAGACTACATACCAGGTTGTTGGGAAGTATGTTTGAGCGTTTGTTCGAGAAAGTAGTTCATGACTTTGTTTCCACTCCTGATTTGGGCAAACCATTCAAAGGTTAATAAACATTGTGTTCTCCGGTTTCCTGATGCGGCTATAGGAGGAAATCCAAGCACCTGTTGAATGGACATGCGACCCTCCTTTCTCGCTAGATATGGAGCAGTTTGCCTGCATCCGGGTTGAGCTGAGGCGTCCCGATATAATCTGCGACGGGAAGCCGGAGGGGCACTTGTGCATTCACGAGGTGGGTGAAGGGTTCATCTTTACTTGGTTGCTGACGCAGAGAATATCTCCCAGCACGGCCAGAAGCTTCTTCCAGGTGGTTTCCTGGAAAGTTTCATAAAGGACTTCTCACTTGAAAAGGCGTAGGATATATTGCTGCAGGGAAGTTCTTCAACAATCCTATATATAGTATATATACACCCCTCACCAAACTGCTGTGGCTGCATGCTTGTTCCTTCAGGTGCAAAAGCCTCCCCAGTGGTATTGTCCACTCGATCCATCACCGCCACGCAAAACAGCGAGTGATAAAGATGCAGCACTGACACACAAAAAGGAGAAGAGTGGAGAGGGAACCACACCTGCATCTGGCGGAGAACCAAAGGATTCAAATAAAGAGGAACGAGCTAAGAAAGAACCAGGATCCCCTGATGGAAACAAGAGGAAGAAAAGCACAGAAGCATCAGGCGAAACGATAAAACCGTCTAGGGCGAACAACGAACGAAACGAAGGCGAAAAGAATGCGGCGACACAGCGAACAGAGGGAACGGAAAGCCGCAAAAGGACAGAAAAACCAGAGTCCCCCGCTGACTCGCCCGAACAGAACACCAATGCAAAATCTCGGTCCCGTCGACGCAATAACAGCTCAAACGCACAAAACGACAGGACCGAGCAAGCACGCGAGGGCACTAGTGATCCAACGAATGACGAACCGGTAAACACCGGCCAAAGAAACAGGAAACGTCAGCCGAACACAGCTCCTCAACGAGCCAATGCAGAGAGAGACACCTCAGAAAACCGCGACGTCACAGACGGCAACACCTCGCGTAGACAGCAGCGCCGCAGCCGCCCAGTTAAACCCAGCGAATCCGCAGACGCGCAGAACTCTCGAGAAGCCAGGGAAGTGTCTAGAGATGGCGAGGAAGGCTCTCGCCAGCGGCAACCTCAAGGACGCAGACCACGTCCAGGTGCTGGAGAATCTGCATCTGATGAGCAGGAGAGGACTGGGAACGTGACACGTCACACTGACACGAATGAAGACAGGAGCTCGGCAAGCAGTTCAAGACGGCCTCAGCAGCAGACCCAGCGTGCTCGAGAATCCGGACGTGCATCCCAGGGTGGTGGAGGGGACGATGAAGAAAGGGAAAGCTCTGGAGGCAGAGCAAATCGAGCAGGTGGGCGGCAGACGGATGGGCAGCAGCGCCGCAGCCGACCTGCTGGT